TAACCATAATTTGGGGTCAAAAGTTTCTTTTCGCCATTTTTTAATATGGCTGTCATATAAGCGTTTTTTTCGTCAAAGTGGCTGCCGAAACGGACTTGCTCTTATTCGGCTGAAAATTGGCATGCGAAGGCCTCTAGATAGAGAGATAATAATTTGTGGTCAAAATTGGTTTATCGCCATTATCAGATATGGCCGCCACAGAAGCGTTCGTTGGCGGCAAAAAAAATATGCTCTGATCCCTTTGAAAATTGGTATGTGTGGGTCTCTAGGAATACTTGATAATAATTTGTGATCAAAAATGGTTTTACGCCATTTTTTAATATGGCCGCCATTCAACAACTAATAAAAATTAGCTCTAATTCAACTGAAAATCGATATGTGGGAATTTCTATAGGTGTTTGATAATAATTTGCGGTCGAAATTAATTTTTCGCCTTTTTTCAATATGGCTGCCATACAAACTTTTTTAGCGCCAGATAAAAATTTGCTCTAACTCGATTGAAAGTGGACATGTCGGGGTCTCTATGAGTGTAAAATAATAATTAACGGTCAAAATTTATTTTTCGCCATTTTTCAATATAGCTGCCATATAACTTTTTTGACGGTAGATAAAAATTTCTTCTAATTCGACTGAAAATGGCATGACTTCAATCACAATTTGGGGTAAAATTTTTGTTTCTGCCGTTTTTCGATATAGCCGTAATTTTTTATGTAAATGGCTATTGAAAAAACTTGCTTTGCTCGGACTGAAAATTGGCACGAAAAGATTTCTAAGATTGTTTGATAATAATTAGTGGTCAAATTATATTTTTGCAATTTTTAAATATGGCCGCCATTAAAGAGCTATTTAATTTTTTTTGAAACAAAGCCAAAAGTGCCGAGGCCGGAGGCCGAGGTCCGCGAAGGGTGAAGTCCGAATCGTCCGAACACCATCAAATGGAGATAATATACAAAGGCGCAATAGATTACGAGTACAAGATCTCACAATTGTAAAAATGTAAAGCATAGTTCCCGATGTAGTGGAAATGAGATACTTATTATAGCGTTGTTGTATCTCAACCGTCTCTATGTTACATTTCATTTTCTTGAAAGCTATGCCAAAGAGAAGTATTTAGGGGGATAAAATGCCAAACTACTGCCGAATTTCCTGTACTATGTAGGTGCTGTGAATACCAAATCAACGATAACCCAGAATACTCAGACCAAAACCAACTTAGAAATGTTCGTTTCTTAAATTAGCATAAATCGGGAATCGACCGCCTCATCAAGCGCCCATAGTACTAACTGCTGTGTCACCGAAGAGTACACCCCGTAAACTGAAACCGACCACGCGCCGCAGGCCGAGCCCGATCCCACGACCGTAGGTACAGGGCTCGTTTATTATATAGCCCGTTCCATAGCTCGCTGAGCGACTTTAAATTGGTGGACTAGACGTACCGTGAGTGTCCGCGTCTCGGCTCCGTAAATCATAACAAGCAGGGCGCACTGGTTGAAAACCTTTGTTTTCAGATTTTGTGGTATAGGCGACGAGAAGATTCGACGTAGCTTCCCAAACGCTGCCCATCCAAGCTGAATCCTCCTCCTGACTTCCTTCTCGAAATTGTTTCTACCTAACTGCAGAATCTGCCCGAGGTAAATGTATTCGGAAACAACTTCAAGAAGGTGGCCATTTACGACTATGGCCTCGGGTCAATGTGATCATTGATCATGACTTTGGTCTTGTCCAAGTTCATGCCGACGCCAATACGTCGCAAGGCGGACGCTAGGCCGTCCAGTATCTGATGTAGTTCCTCCCGCGACTCCGCCATTAGGACTATGTCATCTGCAAATCGCAGTGTGAGATGTACTCGCCGTTTATGTTAATGCCCATACTTTTCCATTCCCGCATCTTAAACATATCCTCCAATGCGGCTGTGAAGAGTTTCGGCGATATGACATCCCCCTATCTCACTCCCATGCGTAATTGGATGGGTTTAGACTGCTGGCCCTGTACTTGGACACTCATAGTGGTGGCGCAGTACAGACATCTCAGCACTTCAATGTAACGATAGTCCACTTGGCATCGCTGCAAGGATTCCAAGACAGCCCAGGTTTCAACGTAATCAAATCTCATAGTCCACAAAGGCTAGACACAAGGGCCGATTATGACTTCTGTATAATCTGCCTCACAGTATGTATGCGGTCTATGGTGCTGTATCCCCGTCGAAACCCGACCTACTCCGGTAGCTGAAAGTCGTCTAGTCTTCTGGCGAGATGATTCGTAATGACTTAAGACAACAGCGTATACACGTAGCTCAGGAGTGAGATGGATCTGTAATTTTTAAGTAAAGTTTGTCTCCTTTTTTGAAAAAAGAGAACTACTATACTCCTGGTCCACATTTTAGGAGTTCTCCTACATTGAATGACGGAGTTAAATAGGTTCTGTAGTTCCTTGATGACTGGAACTCCTCCGGACTTCAGAAGTTCTGAAGTAACTCCGTCTTCACCAGGGGCTTTTCCATTTTCGAGCTGTTTTATAACCAATACGATCTCGTCTTGGCTCATATCTGGCAGGTCGACGGTATAGTGGCGCATCAGGGCGGCTCTGGGATCATGGTTGTCGTGTATGGTACGAGGAACATGTGCAGCGTATAACCGGCCAAAGAAGTTTTCTATCTCGGTGAGCATCTCCGGCTTCGTCGTTATGGTTCAACCATCGTGTGTTGTAATTTTTTTCATGTGGCTCATTCCAGGCTGCTGAGTGAACACTTTGGACCCTCGGTTTCGGACTATTGCCTCCTCAATGAGGCGTGTACTAGAGGTAGGTCTCGCCGTACCATCTTCGCAATCTTCTTGTTGAGGTCTGACCGCTCTGACGAAGTGGCCCGAGTGTCTTTTCGTCGTTTAGTCATTAGCCGAAGAGTCTCATCCGAGAGTTTGCACTTCGTATCTGTACGCTGAAATCCGCAAAATTTGATGCCCTCTGTCGTCAAGGTTTCAACCACGTTTTGCAGGGCCTCGTCGACGTCATCAGTGGGTTCCAATTCAACGAATCTTTGCTCGAGAATATCGCGGATGCCATAGACACACACATAGATAACTACAAATTACACCCAAACTCATGAGAGAATTAAATATAAGCCATACAAATATTTCTCCCGGCCCGGGAATCGAACACGGGACCACTGTTCCGTTCGGCTACCGAGGCAGTTAAAAAAGTGCTACATGCGTTGGGCATTCAGATACTTAACTTTAAAATATAAAAAAGCATTGATGGTGCTGTCTGAATGATAACCGTTCGGCCACAGAGGCAGTTTTCTCTGTTTCTTACTGATCTTTTGTGTTTAGTTTTTTAGGCTTTCATCGGCGTAAGCGACACCTGTGAGAGATCTATAATGCTTTTCACTCAGCAAGTACCTTTATAGCTACCAGACTCTGAAGTTTCTTTTTTATTTCTCACCTTTTCTCAATGACTTGATTACTCGAACTATAATCTCATAAGGTGATAGAAGTCGTTATGCCATATCTTAGGATCAAAACGGTAACGTATAAAATAAATTACCGACTAGGTATTTTAAATTATTTTAATATTTCCTACTTATCTACTATACATATCTAAATGGAAGTTGCCTTCATCAATGCTACTTGCATTGATGAATGCAACTTGAAATGAAATTGAAATCTGAATAATTCGACGTATAACGAGATTGCCCTACATTATGACCTTTTGCACCACACCCAAGACCATTAGCTACTGAGTTATTTCGCTCAGTCCAACCAAATTATGACGAAACTTACCCAAAAGCTTTTTATTGAGGTTTAGCGTTTTTATTGCATCCATCAAACAACAATTTGCTATTGAAGATAGCAACGAAAAAATATTTATTGTTATTAAAATAGCATTTGTTTTTCAATAATATTTCTAACCATCTTCAAAAAGTAGGAGGTTCTCAATTCGAGTGTACTTTTTTGCATGTTCCGCAATTACTACGACATTTGTCAACCGATTTCGATGATTCTATTTTTGTTGGAAAGGGGGTTTCTCGATAGTGGTCCCATTCAAATTTGAAGAATATATTTCTTCTCTAAGGGTAGGAAATAGGGGATGAATCCGGTTTATCGGATTTCGCCCACTTCCCGTTATCTGATAAAACTTGACAAATTGATGTAGCGAACACAGTAAAAACGGATATTTACGCAAACATGAGAGGTCGGTTTTTTTAATAAAAAAGTTATAATTATTTATTATTAGTCTAATGTTACAAAGACTGACATAGATTATAAGCCAATAAAGTAATAGTAAATACTTTAACTGGAGTTAGATTGAAAAGGTGAAATTGGATCCTCGCCGCAAAATGCCCAAAATGCTGACCGCGTTCCCGCTTTGTGTGAGTTACGGTATAATGGTACAATACAAACAAAAAAGTGGAATGTAGTCCGAAATAAGCTTATAAATTGTTGATGAATACGTCTATAAGCATGTGATTCTGTGATGAATACGCAAGATTTTTTTTATACTTAAACACACGTATAAATGCTCGTAAGTTTTCGAAATAATCCTATTTGAATCAAAATTCTAACGTTGTCCTTTTAAGCGCATTTAATTAATTATTTACGATGTTTACTTACACTTATATATTATTTTACATTATGTATTCTAATTACGATTACATTTCCATTACGCAGTTATTAAAAAACACATTTTTTCTTCTTCGCTTGTACCGACCATAAGACACGAAAGTTTTTCATTATTTTTATCAAAGTTATTTGGTTTGCCAGTTATAAAAACATGCATGAGAAACAAAACTTAGGTTGTGTTTTATTTAAATATCGACATCCATAAATTTAACGTCTATATAGAAGAACATCACTACGATCTTTTCATTCACTCGCTTTTCAGCGAATGAACGGAAATGTTCTATGGTGACGAAGGTTTGATGCCATTTGAAGGTGATTCATCGGTTCATTCCACAAATTAGTTCATACATATAAAACTTATTGTCATTCATAATTTCGGCAGAAGTTGGTGGGACGTGTTTTGGGAGATAAAAATTGTAAGTAATTATTACTACCTACTTGAATGTTTTATCACCTTTTGATAATTCGATTGTATGTACAACGAGCACTTAGCCAGGTATCTTAACTACATTTATAAAAATAATCATTGTGAATGTGTAGATTAGATACCGCCCACTCACTTTTCATATATTCTATTTTGTTTATTAGGTCTCTTAGCCGTCTGTAAAGCTGAAAAGTTGGAGAAAAACGGACAAGCAGCTCTTCAAAGGTTGTTAATATCATTTCCTGTTTTTTATCGGATCTAGTGATTCCTAATATTGTGCAATTTGCGTCCTTCACTGCATGACATCATCCACCCGGCATTCTTTTTTACCTATCATTGTCATCCTATGTCCAATTGTTGTGAATAAAATATAAAAATGGTAGAAATAAAAATGAATCAAAATAGTTTTTCATAAACTGATTTAATAATTTAAATTTTAATATAATAATTTTTTCATAAATATTATCACGTACCTAATACAATTATATACATAAAGATAGAACGTTAACGGCATGCCCTTAATAGAGTTCCGTAGCCGTTAGCGTGATTTCTGGTAATTACATTTTGTTTCAACTGTATACGCAGCAAGATACACGTATACTGTAAGTTAAGAAAATTTTGTAAGATTTATTAAAATACTATAATTAGTATTACAAAGATCGAACACAAATGAAAGTTCCTTTGACCTGACGGCACGAACGTGCGTCTGTGCCAAACCAGGGTCATCGCTACTTATTTTATAACTGAACACCTACAACAGAGGCTTGTCGAGTTAGGAACCAGTCTCTTAAATTTTTTTTGTTCATTTCGTTTTATACCCACACTTATAAATTTTGTTTTGCTGTACTATTCACCTCAAATGGCTTTGGTTGATTCCGCATAACATTCAAAGTGTTGAATCAATCACTTTGGAAAAAATATATAGTAAAATTGAGGATAAACACTGAATATACGGCGTGAAAACACGATTCCTAAAAATTTTCACAATTTGTATTAATAATTATAACTAATATAGAATGTAACAAATGCTGAACATACTTTATCCGGTGATCGTTATACCTTCTTTATCCGGTGACTGATACCGATAATAACAAATACTTATATATACTTGATATACTTGAGCAAAAATATTAATTTTAATTCGAAGTACTGCCTTCTTTATATCGTAACGTACTGTAAACTTTTAGTAGCCATTTTTGTCGTAGACGGAATTTAGTTTTTTTTTTCAAATCACTTCGTGTGGGAAGCAGGCTTTGACAATGTTTTTTCAAAACGACAATCGCTGGACCTGATCGATATAACTTATTGCGTAGAACGTACTATGGAGTCTAGTCTAGATGCACTATAGGAGTCGTGGTCTCCATGGACAAGTGCTCTCCGAAAGTATCAGAGTCGGATTGATTACTCTAAAACAAATATTATCAAGAACCAAAAAAGTAGGGATAGATGAATAAATGAAACATTCTTTGTAAACAGAAAGAAATATCGATAAGAAATAGTTACGATGAGTTTTCCTTCTCCCTGTATTTGCTGTAGATTACGCAACTTGAGAAGTTTTATTTTACTCCTTACTTCGCCATTGATCGCAATAGAGAAGTCATCGCTGAACACGTCGTGTGAACTTGTGGTTAGATTTATCGATTACAATTATCCTATGTAGTTTGAAGGTTGTTGAGTTTTCCTTTTTGAACCTAAATAAGTACCTACATAAAATACATTATTGTTACAAGAGTATTGATTGTTAGTCTTTACATTTAGCCTTCGTAAAATCGTATCTATGTGATTAGATAGTTATCGAAGATTTGCTGTTTGTATGACATTTTAATGTAGAGTTTTATATATTATTACAATAGATACATAGCTATTTTTATGACGTACGTAGGAGGTATTTCGTTACAGTCGGGTTGAACAACGTACGGGTACAAATACGATATTTCTAATGTACGCTTTAAATAAGTGAAAGTACCTATATTTATAGATATTTTATCACATGGGACTTGTCAACTTATATCTCAGGGTGACGTGCGCAGTGGCAGTGCCCCTCAAATCTTTGCGAATTAAAGCTCTGAGTGGCACTGCAACTGTTATGGATAGGCGTGTAGCTTACCATCAGGCGCACGACTTGTTCTTTCCGCCACTCACACACACACTTGGTACTTGGTGTAACGGGCTAGTGTCCGCAACTCGACGTCAAGGCGCCTATTTTGCGTGTCACACACACACACAATAATATTAATTATTTAAAAAATACGTAATTGTTTTTTTGCATAATTTTCTTAAAATTTTATGAATATCTTCTTCAAAGCACGATTACTACATTAATCTATTTATTTTGTTTGGGCGAAACAGATGTTTCTAATAAATGTGATTTATTTCCTGCCTTGTATCATCTATCACTTCATAGCACATAGTTTCGGAACGTTTATTAATATTTTATTGTATAACATTAGCAATGCGCGTGTAAAAAATTGTCATGTCCCCCATCAGATCAATGCACATTATACATACGTATAGTTCACACTATGTAATAGTAAGAACTCTATCATATCATAGTATAATTTTTCATTCTTCCTTTCCAGCGCGCCAAAATGGCGCCACTATCACTAGAAGGAGATACGCTGGGATCAAAACATCGCAATCATAATAAACTTTTGGAAAAAGCAATTGCAGATGGAGTTAAACCGGAAAAACTTAATCCGGAAGATAGTGACTTAGAGAACTTGCTTAAAATTGATATAGCTAGTAGGCAAATGAATGTAGAATACATACTTGAAGTGCTGAAAAGCGAAGACATGCTGTATGTATCTCGAGCGATCAAGCAAAGCTTGTGGCTTGTGACTGAACAGCAGTTTGCAGACATAATTAATCCAGACTATCTGCACACGCAACTGTTTCCGCAGATGACTACCAAAGCAAGTCACAAACTGATGCTGCACATTAGACTCAATCTTAAAAACGCAGCTAGAATCGATGAATTCTACAAATATTACAAGAAAACAGATCTAAAAAAAGCTCAAAAATGGTTGTCGCAGTGCTCACCAGCCTTAATTGAAGAAGAGCTTAAGGCACGCACTCACGATATTGGAAATCACCAATTCAAAAGACTTAGTGAAAGGGGTTTTACTGTGTTCAAACAAGCTTTGGATGCTATCTCATACTGGAAAAAGGACAAAATAGAACGCGCTATGTTTTTATTAAAAACGGATACAGAATTGTTTTTAAATACGGTAGAAAATTTAGAAATACATCAAATGCCTAAATTTGGGCCTAAGGCGACACAAATAATTATGGCGAAATGTCCTCAAAAAATTCAAGATAAATTCGAAATATACGCACACAATATTCACTTGCCAACTTTTGTGAAACATATGAAGAAAGAGCAAATTAAAGGTTTTATGTTAAAGCATATGGAAAATGACAAATTACGATATTGGTTTAATTATGACAACGTCAAAATTTTCATCAAACATATGCCAAACGAAGGAAAATTTGAATTCGTCAAGGAATTCTTCATAGAAAGGCCATTCAAAGATCCACCTATTGCTATTCCTTATCATAAAGCAAGTGTTTTTGACAACAGTAACTGCAGCAGTAACATTTATAGATGGTATCGTTTTGCTCCATTCGATGTAGCATTTTCGGAAATTAAAAAACTCATTCGAATCGAATCTTCACCCGATGAGAGGAACTCCATGTTTTCCGTAGTTTTGTTTTGTGCTAAACGAAATCCACAGCACGTGCATGAACTACTGCAGTACTATCATGATAAACACATGAACGAACCATTCAAGTTCAAGCTCACATTTGTAAATAAAATTCTTTCAATGACCGACACTCACAATTACGATAAAAAAACATGGACACTGTTGAATACTATTTTTTACAGCATGGAAGTTTACAGTGAAAATAGTGATAACTTTGTCCAGCCATACATTGAAGCCATAATTGCTTATAATATTCTCCACGGCGAAGAAGTTCCGGAAATAGTTGCAAAGAAATTCAGTTTCAATTCGATGAATAAATTGCAAAGTAAATTGAAGGTAGAAGAAAAACCAAAGATTTTCAACTATTTATACAACATCCAAATGACAAAATTAAGAAACAAAACTGTGGCGAATGAGACCCACTTCAGTGAAGCCCGTGAACTGATTGAAAATATAATGTATGTCTTAATAGATTGGAAGCGAGACCTCGTAGAATTCCCAGAAATACTAGATAAAATTAGGGAGTTAATTAAAATCAAGCAAGAAAATGATTGGAAAATTTCGTTGTCATCGTTATATACTAAAAACAACAAGTGGCGCAAAGCAATGTTTGAAGAATCTCTTGCGCTGTATACATGTGAACAATCCCTAATCAATGCTATCAAACATGACCCAAAGCTGCTACTTCGCAACAAAGCTGAGGTTGACTCAGTACGGTACAATGATAACGCGACTCTAACACATCTACTCCGCAAGCTGCGAATATATTTCCCGCAATCCGTAACTAGCGAGTGGACAACTGATTATCTTGCAAAACTTAACGAAACAAATGGCCACAAAGCCTTGACACGAGCTATATGTACTCTGTTGCCCCAGAAGCCTTTAACGGAAATACTACAGAAATATGCTCCTACCGAAACTAAAATAAATTGGAGCGAAGACGATGAACTTCTTCTAAGTTTGCGTAAATATTTTGCCAAATACATGCACCTAGCCAGACCACTCGTGTCTCCAAACATAGTATTATGCTATGCACGAGGCGATTATTTACAATTTGCTCTACCCTCTTTAACTGCAGTCGCGTACAACATAAGTTCCCAACGCAGCCGCGAAATGCTCTCAAAGTTGTTAGAATCACCTGTATCCGTACAGAAGCATGGTCTCACTCTAGCTTTTAACAAACTGCAACCTAGAGAAATTAAACAAGTGTTTGCTGATCTATGGAAAAGAAATAATAACGCAAGTATACGTTCTGCACTATTCAAGCGCACTTTTGAACTTTTATGTAAACAAAAAGATGATAAAGAAGCAGAAAACATTTGGGATCTACTTAGCACGTTTATTGACAATCTCTCGTCTGAGGAAGACAAGACTATATACCTTATCTTGAGTAATAATAAACGCTCAGTAGATTTGGTGCCGTTTTGTGTTAGAGGAAAATTCTGTATGAAGAGCTACAAATGTTTGAGTTCTTTACCACCCAAAGCTGATTACGTGGGTCTTGTAGATAGTATAAAATCCTATTTCAAAAAAGTTATGGAATATTTGGATTACGATTTCATTACTGATGTGGTACAGAAGGATCTCGAAAATTTTACAAAAACATTATATGCTGGTGACATTCTGTCATCGTATATGCTCTGTGTGAAAGATGAAGAAGCACAGACACTAAGATATAACAAAGTTTTTCTTCCGTTGTTAGAACGTTGTTTGCCACTTTGGGAAGAACCGGACAAAGATGGCTGCTGTATTGTCAAAATAAACATGACCAATGTGTTAGAGGAACTTCGTAAAGGACTTTTCGTTTATGTTTTTATGGAAAAAATGGTACTTCCCATTAAATTGTTTGCCGATATAGCGAACAAACTTGAAGAAAAATTGCCGACTAAAACTACTTACGTTCTGTTACGTACTTGGAAATTGACAGCTACCTTGATGAAACTCCTGGATAGTCACAAAGACATATTAGATGCTATCGAGGTAAATAAAACACAACGAGACCATTACTACATGGCTGACAATGACAGTCAATGGAATCCGTTCTTCTTGAACGTGACTAAGGATTTTGCCCAAGCTTGCATAAATTATTTAAAAGCGGACCTTGAAGAATATTTTCCTTCCATCAACTTACTATTCGGCAACGCATTATTAGGTATTGGTTCAAATGTGCATGGTATGGTTTACTTTGACATTTTAAACAATATACTTGACAATTGTGATAAATGTCCAAAATGCTTCCTAATGGTTTTGAAAAGTTTTCCTTCATATTGGGGTTGCGAAGCTAACGACATAGTCAAGCAAATTCGCGATAAAATAGAATCCCACCCGTCACTGGAAGTGAAAATGCATTTTTATAGAGAGAAAGTTGCACAAAATTTTTAGAACGTTATTTTTAGAATATTAAGAAATATTTATGTTGTACACATCGGTTGAGTATGAGGTATGAACTATTAAATAAAAAATTAAGAGATATGAAATAAAAAATTAAAAGCTCTTTTATTTAAACTACCTAATAAAATTCAATTTAAGTTAAAATAAAACAGAAGGTTACTGTACTATCTATAGCTCCAATTAAGCGTCTAGGTAATAATTATGTTTTCTTTTATTTTTCTTTCTCCTTATAGAAAGAAAAACAAAACTTAAAAAAATAAACAATAAGCTTTTTTTGGTTATTTAAGTGGAGTAAAGTAATTAAAAGAAATTGTTTGCGGCAATAATGGCAGCCTCTAGTATGTCCTAACAAATGCAGTTATTTCATACATTCAATTCATGAATTGTTAGTAATATTCCTATTTGGTTTTAGTTACTGTTAATCTTCTGTTAACTATCATTAGTATTTTCGTGCCATCTCCATATTTCTGCCATCATCAGCAGTCGAGCTGTGATATAATATGCCGAGTTGGATTCGTTTCAGGTTATAATTTGTTAATCATTAATTTCTTTTCTATAATTATAATAAGCTAATGTGTTAATGTAATAAAATAGTTAATGTTTTTGAAATTGAATAAATTAAAAAAAAAAAAAAGCTGAATAAAATTGTTTCTTTCTTTTCTTTAAAAATAAAAATATGTGTAAAAAGAACAAATAAATGGGCTGAATGATGGCGAAACAGGAATTAGGCAATAAAAAGTATAATTTGGCGGGAATATTCTCTTACAGGGAGCGAGCAATTTGTTGAAGAACACTTTAAATTGATGTTTGATTACAATAACTATTATTCATTATGAACAAGTCGACTAAAAATTTTAAACAAGTGGATGAGCTCACACCATACAAAGTGGAAAGTGACGACCTGTTATCTGCTTACGTGACTCCAAAAGAGTCCGTCACGTTGGACGACGTCGCGCAAAAATCTTCAATTGAAATAGAACCTTTCTTCAAAAAGATTGAAAATAACATATGTGATTTAAGGACTGTTGTCGACAATTTGAATAAATTGAGAGGTAAGTTTTGAAATAGTACTAGAATAACTAACCTAACCTACCTAACATTTAAAATTAGAATTGCTGTACAATGGTTATATCCTCGATGGCCTCATATCAATTTAAATACTCGATGTGTACCACATACCGTACAGTTTATTATGCTATGTACAATATCGTTACCAAAATTCACTCGCATTCCGTTCCGCCGCAAAATAAGTTGAGCCTTTAAGTGGTGCCTTCTTTTATATTAAAATTTTTCAGAAGAAGCTGCAAAACTGGAGTTTGATTTGATGAGTTTAACAGACTGCTCGACCTGGCAAAACATCTCCGAATTTATCGGTATGTCTTCAACGAACATTATAGAAGAATGTATGAAAACTTTCGATGAAGACAATGACTCCGAGTGGAATTCTGTCATGTGAAATTAAATACTCTTATGGGATATAATATAATAAAACATAAAAATATGATGGCAACATCTTTATTGCCTATCTTAAATCTAGTCTTACGACTAAATCTGATAAAGTAGTCATATTGGCAGATACTTCATGAAACTTCAGAAAGATTGGTGGTGGTAGATTATAATTAAATGTATATACAGCGAAATTACAACCAAATATCATCTGTTACCGTTTTTAAATTATTTTAATATTTTACCCATGATGGAATTGAAATCGACATGAATGTTTATGATTCGAATGAACTTCATATCGAAATCGAGTTTTAATTTCGCTACGTATATACATTTCATAAGCAACAACAGCTATGCTTACGTGGTATGTTATTTTCGCGAGACCTACATGGTACATGTACTGGTTACGTAAAATCAATTTAAAATTAAAGATACGATAGCGTAAAAGTCGATCACACTGCGCAGTTACTAAATTTTAGGTATTGGGCCAAAACTACCATACTCATCTAATTTTTGGCCCAATTTTTAGGTTTTTATATTGTATTTTTTTGGCGTTGTGCTCCAATGTGACAACTGCTTAGAATGTCCGCTACATCATCAAGTGTAACTATAATATAATAAAGCGTTCACTCACATAATATAGAAAAACCACTTACATCGTCATTGAAAAATCCACTTATGAGCTCAGATAAGTTTAAGAAACTACTATGTAACTGGTTTTGACCATTTGAACAAAATCATATTTGAGGCATATTTAATGATGTCACACGACTCGGTGTAACTAGCAAATAAACTTCCTAGTCTGTGTTAGTCATCAATGTGAAACCATCAAATGTCTTACATTGTCCTGTTAAGATTTTTCATTATTCAAATTTCCTAAATATTATTTGGAGCAAAAGTCAAACAGACATTAATATAAAAGTGTAATGCATTCTAATAAGTGATAATGTAGAATAATTTTTTGTAATACAATTACATACTTATTTTTGTTGATTTTGTATGAACTGTTTCAAACATTTTCAACTTCCGAATTATGCCTTTTATACATTTAAATTTTAAGACTTACATTAACCTTATCGCTTATCGTACTTACAAAGTACTCGTACCCAGGTATCAAATACAAAGAAATTGATTCATTCAATCACTTTTTACAAGATTTCAACGAAAATTAGGAAATATACCTATACAAGAATGTTAAAACTAGTAAAAACCGAGACGTTACACACAACTTATCCATAACACAGAGCCTATTAACAATATGAAACTAAAATGTTCCGAACTTATAAAAAAAAATCACATAGTGGCCGTAGTTAGTGGAGGACCTGTAAACAAATTATTTATTAATAGTAAATTTGGAAACAAAGCAAATAACACAATAAAGAGGCAAATCTTCAAGACAAAAAAGAATTTGTCATAATATATAAAAGCGAGTCATCAGAGTTTGTGATATTGTTACAATATCTATTACGGCATTAAGACAGGAAAGTTTTTTTTATATATAATAATACCAAGAGACGGGACGATCAAGCCGTGCTCTTGGTGGTAAGCTACATGCCTATCTATAGCAGTTGCAGTACCACTCGAGCTTTAAATCGCAAAGATCTTATGGGCACTACTACTGCGCCCGTCACCCTGAGACATAAGTTGACAAGTCACATGTGCCTGTAATTTCACCAGTACCCTTACCCTTCTAAACCGGAACACAATAATGCTAACATTACTGCTACGCGAAATAGGTAGATAGGTGGCAGTTTATACTTCCCATAGACGAACTCTTTCACAAGGAGTTCTACTGCTACTAAAGATTAAGAGTAGCTTTTGCGAGCATGTTTATATAGACATTATATTAGTTATATAGTAAGTAATGAAATTTCAAATACTTGATGAATAATAATAATTACATAATAATTATAGCTTTTTTACAATCCTCAACAAGTTAGCACTACATTTTCAAAGCCTTCAATGGTATTCAAACCAGTGAACATACTGCTTGTTCTCTCTACCTTTAATACCAAAATACAGCAGTGCTCGATTGGGATCTGCATTTAATACCAAAATACAGCAGTGCTCGATTGGGATCTGCACTTACAGAACCTTGCGGCTTATTGACACACTTTAAAAATTGAAAAAAAAAACCTTATTCATCATTGTTGCCTTCATCTGGTGCCGGCGTATGCCACGTGAGTCGCTCCTCGTAGAACTGTATGACAACCTGCGGGCAACGCACGTTCGCCTGTTTCGCGGGCACCAAGTCCGCCTCATCAGTCCCTTGCCATTTCATGAGGAACATTAATTCCCCGCTGCTGTCAGTAGCACCTGTAACAGAGAAAAATCATTACAAATAATGTTTAATTACAAAAGGTGTTTTTCACATAGGGGATTGGCGAAATTAGTCTAATTACCTACTTAGCAATACGTACTACTTTCTCAATCTTGGCTGCAAGGTCTGCACAAGTAGTAAGCGATAAAGTAAAAGAATGATATTCAGTGAGTTTCCCAAGTTCAATGATTGAGCGACACTAACTTGCCACTTACTATTAACTTGTGTAATCTGTCCGTAAAGCAGTGTTTTAATACACATTAAATGAAATAGGTGGGTAATTTTCAGGTTAGTTTCCTCCACCTAATATCGGTGTACATTTTATTATTCAACTATTCTATATTACCATGAAGTTTTTTTATTATTTGAATGTAGTAACCTGAAATATTATTTAATATTTCAAGATAATATACTCGAATATTTCAATAAAATAATAAAAATTGCCAGTTATGTAGAGAAAATTAACCTGAAATTCACCCAGGTGTGTGTGTGTGACAAATATTACTACCATTGAAACCAGGAAAGCTATTAGTTTTTACCTACGTAGTCAGGTTTATGTCACCAATTACTTTTATTCAAACTCTATTCAAAATAAGTTCAAATGCAACACATGGTGACTATTTATTTACATGCTCGATGCCCCTGACAGAAAAGTGCAGACTACAATTTCATTATATTAGAACAACTAGTACTTCTAATCATCGATATAAGTACTTTTAATGACCGAGAACTTTTCTGTGAATAATGTCCATTATTGTGTAAAATTTGAACACTGGAACAGCTTGCAGTCGCCCAGTATCACAATACAAAACTTTTCGAAGTTCTTAATAGTTAAAAGTACTTATAATAAATTGTGTACATTATTACATTACGTATTTGTATGAAGAGTACGAGACGTTTTTGTTTTAAATAGATAGATAAGTAAATATTGGACAACCATCACATATGTTGCTCTGGGGCCTACCACAACCTCTTAAAACAATACTACTTTAACCTTACATTGACTTTTCGTACCATAACGCGCTTAAAGTGAGCTTATTATAATATTAAAACCACAGACATATTACCGCAGTACCACTACACCACAGAGGTCGTCAAAAGTTATTTACTTACCAATGATCTTTTCAGGTTCAAGACCACGGTCGAAACCTGACGCTTTTTTGTCATCGCTTTTCGACTTTTTGGCTCCTTTTAAATCAGGTGTTGCAGCGTTTGATTTGCGTTTCTTTGCATCCTTCTCTTTAGCACCTTTACCCTCTGAAAATTATATTTTACAAGTTATATACTAGCCACAATTTTTATATTTATGTAGTTTCTAATTTATATATATAAATGAAGAAGACATGTTACTTTTTGTTCAGAGGCATTTTATTTTGCAAGACCAGCGTTATTTTCGCCGATGGTAAAACACCGACACTTTGCGTTAGGAAATAATTATCATATTATTATTATTTATAGGATTTTATTTTAATATTACAAGGTTTTAGTTAAATAAAAAATCGTGTAAGAACATACAGAAACCAAATGTTAAGGTGTTAGTCACCTAATTAAAAATATTTAACATCTATTTAAGATCAATTAGTTATTTCGAAGAATGCTGTCGCTAATTGTACTTTAATTTACTCTAAATTTATATCTAATACTCTCATTTTGTGACAAGAGCGCACTATTTCATTCTATTACTAACAAGGGAAAATGGTACAATCTGCAGTATGTTCATCGGCGTCCCTACTCATTCCTCACCCTACGCGTTCAGTACATTAAATGGGGGACAAAAAAAACACATTTTACATCACTGTATTAATACTTACCCGCTTCTTTCTTTTTCCTTGCTTCTTCAAAGGCTTGGATTAAGTCAGGGCAGTCAAGATTCTCTTCTGGCTCCCAAGTGTTGTCCTCATCATCATAACCCTTCCATTTTAGGTAATATTCTACCTGCAATTTCATTATTGGCATTTATTAACCTAAGTCTCACCACTGGAAGGGTGTACCACACCTAATGCAAATTATGAACATCTCATATCCTAAAAAGCTTTGAAATCTTTCGGAAATGCGTTTTTCTTGGTGATATATTTATTTACCTACCAATCCTACGCATTGTTAAGGCCCATTTAGATGGGGAGAGTTTCTCGCACGCTTCGAGACGAAAACTCGTAGGCGATTCTCGTAAGCAATAATCGCCATAAGATTATCGTATCATAATGTTTACATTCAGGCAAGAACTAAAATCTCGCCTACGATTATGTCATACGAGACTCGTAAGCAACTTAATCGCCTCCTCGACTGTTTACACGGAGAAATATGTAGTAAGGAGATTCTTGCTTACGAGTTTTCGACTTGTCTAAACACGATCTCGTATGACATTTTTTCAAGTTCATACGATTATCGTACAAATCGGTTCGAACCGTTTTGAGTGCGAGAATTGCCATTCGAGTTCAGTGATTACTGCGGTATTGACTATGGATATATCGAAATGACGCAAAAATCATTCAAATTTGGAACTGCTGATAATATTAAGTTCATTGCAATGTATAGAAATATAATTAATTATAATTTTGATTTATCATTTTTTTTAAATTATATAACTACTGACACAAACAAAACTGACAATTATGATAAATTTATAGGGCGAGTGAGTGCGTGTGTGAGTGCGTGAGTGACTGAGTGAGTGAGTGAGTGCGTGCGTGCGTGCGTGCGCGCGAGCGTGCGTGCGTGCGTGAGTGAGTGGTGAGTGAGTGAGTGAGTGAGTGGTGAGTGAGTGAGTGAGTGAGTGAGTGAGTGATGAGTGAGTGAGTGAGGGGTGAGTGAGTCAGTGAGTGGTGAGTGAGTGAGTGGTGAGTGAGTGGCTGAGTGAGTGGTTAGTGAGTGAGTTGTGAGTGAGTGGGTGAGTGAGTGAGTGAGTGAGTGCGTGAGTGAGTGAGTGGTGAGTGAGTGAGTGAGTGGTGAGTGAGTGAGTGAGTGAATAGGGAGTGAGTAGGGAGTGAGTGGGGAGTTAGTGAGGAGTGTTTATTGAAAAGTACATTTACTTGAAAAGTCGTGTCGGCCATCTTGGATTTAGAAATAAATGCTATGTTCGTAATGAGCACCCCCAAATACCTCAAAAACGATACCCAACTTGCCATTATTTGAAAAGTGCGGGCACGACTTTTCATCCTGGATTTAGAAAGGAGTGCCATATTCGTTACGAGAGCACCCTAAATACTATATTGCCCACGCTATATTCGACCACAGAGGCACTCACTCACCGTTATTTGAAATTTTTTTTTCGCTCTTGTTCCATTAATTCTTGTCTTAGAAAAGCAGTGATAATGAAAAACTCCCTCGCGCGCTGCACTCGTGGTAGAAACGGCTGGCACAGAAACTCGAAATACGATTTTTGCTTTCGAGTTCTGTTTACACGGAGACGTTATATTGAAAGGCGAGGAGATTATCGCTCACGTGGACGGTCGATAATCGCAAATGTTTAGACGAGGAAAGTTTTTTTATATTCTTTCGATAATCGTATCTTCGAGACGAGAAACTCTCTCCATCTAAATGGGCCTTTATTGTAAATAATTTTTACAACCACAACTTTGAATGACAATTGTGGCACAAAAGTAAGCAAACCGCATAGTAAGCTATAATTTCATACAACTACTTCAATTTCTCATTGGTAATGTGTCCTGATTACCGCAACTCAACGTCGCAGCGCCGTAGTGCGTGAAGCGGGTATAGAGTGTTACTACTACTATCCAAGCTACCTAAATGGCAATGGACAATATCTATTTAGCATAAAACTGTTAACATTAAGAATTTTAGTTTTAAAAACAATAAATGACATATATAAGTTCTTGTCAAAATTAGGATATATTTTTTGAAATGCCAACTAGCCTGCTAACGTAAAACTGGTTTGTATAGTTAAAAATGCAGACCATTTTCTTAAACAAAGAAAAGATATTTGTGACAAAAATATATATTTCAAGTCTGATTTAATACAAAAAGCAATATCAGTAACAAAAAATGTCATTATATTCAAACTTTAAGGAAAGAACATAAAATATGCAAACTTTTTTTAATAAGTTGTAGACTCAAAAAAGAGTAAAATTGCTATCAGAAAATGTTGATCACAATATTTTTTGCATTTTCTAACAGCCAATGAAAAGCAATGTTCGGCTCAAATTTAAAAAGCAAACAACTTCGCTTCATAGCTAAAATACACTTAGTTGATGTTGTTTTTGTGCCACATACATACCTTTCCATTTCTTACACGTCGGTCAAGGACCTTCTCCACAGAGAATTCTTCTTCTCCTTCAGGTTCCTTCTTGTCAGCCATTATACTTCTGTAATAAAACACAAATCATGCAATATTAATGCTTAAGTATAGTCAAGAGCTAAATAATGTAAACACACCCATGCACACACTTTAAAGTACGTAATTCTTCTACTTTCTAAAAAATTGTATATAATTGATAACATTACATACAGATAATAAAAACAAAGTTTTTTTTATCAAACAACATTATTTGTTAATTGACAGATGTATTTCACTTCTTTTCTGGATTTTTTTTATTGTCAAAATTTTCCCAATAAGTCTAGCATATGGATTACACAAAATATGGAATACTAATATTGTATACGCAACAAAGCTTACCCCGATGCCCGGGGAGCGGATAGGCGAAGATCAAAGCGTATCACCACTTGGAGAGTGCTTGGCCTAATACCCTGGAAGTGAATGCATGTGGGACTTGTCGTTCCGTTTATGCATGTTACAAATCTTGAGTACTATGAGATGATTTGTATATACATCAAAGGTGGTGACAGTCTTTATGAAGCTCAAACACTGTAAGATGAAGAGCATCCATCACCTACCAATCCAAAGCTTAGTGAATCCAATGATTTCTCACCGATTTTTTTGTTGTGTAGCAAAATTGATTGCCATGTTTATTTCAATAAAACTCGTAAAGCGCGACAACTAAAAGCAAACATTACAAATGAATATGATGCTGTACTGCGGGCTCCATGTACAGCTCAATCAACAACATTATTAAACAGTTGCATGTACCCAGCGAATTGGTTTTTTTTTTGTTGTACACATAAAAGTTGATTGCAATTTCCTAAATGTATGTACCTGAATACATTAAACCCATTTTTAAGATAACAATTTCTTTGTTTTTGACAAAAAAATGTATACTTTGACAGTTTTAATACTGTGAAAGTATGCAGGAAAAAAAAATGTAATTCAACTTATTATAAATACATAAAAATTTTGGTATGGAATTTTAATTAAACTTACACAGTATTTACAAAGGCTAATGCCACAGCCGTGTCACATCACAGCTGTGTGGCCGCCACCGTGGTGCGGAGTCAAGTACATTCAGTATTTTTGGGAAAAGTTTTAAATATAATTATATACCATGGAAATCTGAGTACATTTCCATGGTTAAATTCTCAATATTACTCTACTGTTTAAGAGGTTCTTAGATAATAAAGTAATACTGAGAATTTAATTTTTTCATAAATATACAAATACTTAGATTAACAACTGTTTAGAATCAAATGGCTAGTTAATGTGATAGCAAATTTATATTTATCTGTCACACAGGTTAACACCTAGTATGGACTTCAGTCTCATAATCAGGTTTTTCTTTTCTTAGTAAAAATTCAAATTAGCTGTTTATAAGTTTATTTATGTAAGGACCTTGATAAGAGACAATATATATTATTATTATTTATATACCAAACAAAGTATACACATTTACATACACTTGACGACCTTTTCCCGTCGGGGTAGGCAGAGACCAGTCTTAAACTTGTTACTATCCTGACACACATCTTACTTTTATTGGGTATATTTAGGCGTTTCTGAATCTATGGCAACAATGAATTAATGCACTCATTGCATACATATGTATTTACTGAACAATGTGTACACATTTGCGAAATTATTGATGTAACTATATCCACGATAAGAACAAGAGAAATAGTAATTTTATTACATTGTTGTGGTATACACATATTCCAGCTCTTGACTGTACCTTCACAATTTACATTTGTGTATTTAACAGATATATTCATAAAGTTGTAGCTAAACATAATTCAAACGTTACATATTTTCTAGAACTTGGATAAAGATAGAACTCATGCAGAAAGACAAACGTTCACAAATATTTAAAACAACTTGTGGTTATAACCTAAAACTTATTGTGAAAGAAATGCACATTTATTTCAACGAGATCTATGATTAACATTCTGATTTCATATCAAGCCATGTACCACGGACGAAATACACTCACTTGAGATAGTCGAAAGAGAATCACGAATTGCAATCAATTCATTCCTATATCCCGCCATTTTGATTGTAACAACGCCAAGCCATTGTTTTTACGAATTATTACTTTCGCTCATAACACAAAGTCAATTTACTCGTAAATGTTTTTTTAAATATATTTTATCACACTAATTTCTAACATTAATTACAATCTCACCTGTGTTTTTATCCACAATTATTCAGAAAAATTACAAAACCGGCGTCACCACAGACGTCACTTTATTTTTTTATTTATTGACGTGAGTGCTGCACCACGCTTATGACTTTTTGAATGAGAATGAATGAAAATATTAAAAAAGTAACTTAGCAGTAGGGCTAGCACGATAAAGGAGTATCCACGTACATCAGGGACGTGCCCGGGACGTGGACGGGGCGTGCTAGTTTGTATGAACAGCGGGCCCGTCCCGGCGCCGGCCCGGACACGGACATGTGTGAACGAGTTCATACAAAATATATGTAACGATATTTTTTTGAGCCCCTGACGGAGCACGGCCGGTCCACAACCCAGGCACAGCCCGTCCACGTCCCAGGCATGGCCCGGAAACGTGTGGATAGACCTTAAGGCGTTACTTACACGAGAGCGACATAAACCACGAGATTCCTATGCCAGAAGAGCAGTATCTCGCGCTTTATGTCGCTCTCGCACTAGTCGCGCCCTATCGTGCTAGCCCTACGAGTTATCACATTAGTCTATCAATTATTATGCAGTGTAGAACATATTTATAACTTAAAATCATTAATTTAAGTTATTGTAAATACTTGCAGCTGAAGTTCCAATACAATAAGCTAAGCTACATTTTTTTCATGGTAGACCATAACTTAATCGATTATGAAAATCAATAACAACAATTTTTATAAAATTGCAACAAAATTAAAAACAAAACAGGATCTTACTAATCTCGTTAGAGGGCGCTCTGCGTTCTGAAAGTTGAAGTTGTCTGTTCCTGTGTATGGGAAAGTTGTAAATAATTTTCGTTAGATTTTCGACAAAACGCATAAATTACAAGCCCAGGATAAATAAAAAATGATCCAATGGTTATAAAGTGAAATGTGAGTGTAATGGGCAACCACAATCGACGTGCCTTATGAAACAAAAAACTATCATTGCGCACGATACCCCAACGCCATTTTGAGGCGAAATTTTGTATTGTAAGTGCCAAGTATTTTGCAATATTTCCGATTTTTGCCCTCGTCAAAGGGTTGATAGAGTTAATTAAGTGTGGCAGTGGATGTGAAAAGCGTTGCCGGAAGCATTGGATGCAAATGGAACGCAGTGCGAGTGTTGAAGAGCTGGATGGATGCACCGTGGAGGGCGAGTGCGGTGTTGTGCTGGTGTTCACACTAATTAGATTACAGTGATATTTAGGGGTTTACACTCGCAGAGCTGTGACCAAGGGCTAGATAGACACGGGAAAGTATTGTTGTGGCGCAGTACGCACCGTGGGAGCGAATGTGATGCGGCGTGGCTGGTTATCGGTTATTTCCGACTGTTGCAGATATCGGGAGCGGAGGATGGCCCGGGGAGGGAGCGCTCTAGTTAACTGACGGACGTCGCCGGCTCACAGCTGGCGCAAGCAGTACGTACCTTTTGTTAACTTTATTAAACAGTAAACTAATCCCCTCAATGTGACTATGTCACACTCTAAATAGTGCTGAGATTTGAAGATCTAATTGATTGCAGTTAGATACTTCAAATTACATCTAAGCAATAGTTTAGTTGCATTAATATTAGCTTTTCGATTATGGCATATTGAATAAAACTTTATCCTGTAGTGTTATTAATTACTAAAAATAATTAATGACACTGCAATCTAAGACTCATCATATCAGCATTGAAATAGTCATAGAAAAACAGCAAATAATTATTTTGTATGTATGTCTGTAAAGACATGGTTATCTAATATTCCTGTAATTTTTCATGTAAGAAAAAATCCTGTAACACACTTTTCATATCATCTTTTATAGAATATGCCTATTTCTTGTATGGAAAGGGCTTACCAGAGACTGTAAGAAATTTTATTAAAAACAAAGAATTGCAATTGGATTTGAAATCAATATATATCTACTACAAAACTCAAGTATGACTATACTACAATACTTGTCTTGTTACAATGAATAAGTTTCTTGATTAACCATTGAGTGGTGAATTTTTTTAATAAGTGATATAATTGTATAACAGCTGATACAAACTTAAAGTTGAAAAAAATAATGTGATAGGGAAAAAAATTTTGTTTATGAATATAACTTCAAATGTTTATGTTGTTTACAAATATAAAATACAAAATGAACAACAAAAAAAATTGTGTCAAAAAGAATTTTCAACTTGTTTGCGTTGATAAATAGACTGCTTACATTTTAATTTGTGTATTAAAAAATTTATATATTGATTTTCAGTGCTCTTATGATAAATATCAAAATTTTCATAATTTAATATAGCAACAAGATCTCATTTGGGTCAGAGTTTCCTACTCTAGCAGAGAATGTCTAGAAAGTTACACAGGAGTACATTTCTCTATAAAAGTTTCATTCTAAGCACCCTGCTAAAATTGAGAAAAAAAATCCACAATTGCATATTTGTAGTTAAGTATCTATGATATTGTGTAACATCCTGCTGGTATCCGCTACTTGATGTGCAGGTGCCTATTTTGCGCATTTACTATAGAAATAAAATAATTTCACCATTTATAATTCATGTGTGTCAAAAATATGGTCAGTGATAATCATTTGTTGACTATAAACAACAGTTTGATTTACAAAACCAAAACATGACCAGTCAAGCATGCAAGCATTAGAGTGTGTAAGGGTATGTATCATAGATACAAACACAAAGTCGAAGGTTAAGATTGTACACACCCATAATCTGTGGAGCACAACAATCCATCAATACCTAATCAAATCTCAAGATTGTCATCATTAAATGCAGGAAAACACTGTCATTGTTTTAGATCACATGTCCTATCAGGCATTATGATCAATTACAGCATATAATTGATAAGCAATGCAAGGTCAGTGACAAATAAAGTCACTATTGTTAGATTATAAGTATGACCAGTGTAAAATAGGCTCTGCGTTACAAATCCATGAATTAAATTGTATCATCAACATTATCTGTTATGTATTATGAAGAAGATGTCTTGTGATATTGGAATGCAATTTGTAATCAGTTTATTATAGCATTTTTTGTAAACCTTAGCACCACACACTAAAAATATAAACATTTTATAAGTCTCTTAGCTGTAGCATGCAAAGATTCTCAATAGTACTTGCTGCATTTACCACTTAAAGCATAACATTATATTAGAGAAATTAGATCTGGCAATCAGTGGGCTCAATGGTCCACCTCACTTCCATCATCTGACAAAATTATAGTTGTCATTGCCAGCATAGTGTATTTCTGCAATACATGCAACATGTCGTGTATTGGTATTGGGAAACATATTTAGATAGTCATTCAATAGATTTACAATATGTAAAAGTGTTGGGCGCTACAATTGTAGTATATGTGTAATGCACTTAATGGTGCTAATAATAATAATAATAATAATACAAACACTCAAAATATCCCTGTACTAGGGAAACCCTGTGTCGCTGATGCCATGTACACACCCATAGACAGCTACAAGTTACACCCAATCTCACAAGAGAAATAAATGTAGGCCATTAAATATTTATCCCGGCCCGGGAATTGAACCTGGGACCCCTCTGCATGGTAACCGTTGGGCCACAGAGGCAGTTTAAAGTAGCAAGAGAGTTATTATCAACTGCAAATAAATAGTCAATAATTTGTCACTCAATCTGTTGGTTTAAGGAAAAAATATTTTTTAATTTAGGGAATGTTGTGAGGAAAATACAGTTTTCCTGCATTCTGTAATACAACAATGTTTTTAAACATTTGTATGTATGTATATTGTATTAACTTTTGTAAGCTTTCTTTTCTTTAGTTAATTGAACAATTTGTGTTATGGGATTTAAGTACTAGTCACAATGGATTTTATTTCACATGACTGTACTCATCTGCAAAGGGAAATACACTGCCGTCCTTATAAGCAATGTAATTGACATTTTTAACGAAATTGAGTTATAAATGTATCTCGTATCAGCGAAATTACATCTACAACCCTCTCTAATCGAGTTTTTAATTTTTATTTAGTTTCAGCTTTATTGTTAAGCAAAATTGGCATAATTGATATTTTTCAAACTAGAAAAAAAAAACTAGGTGCCAATATCTCGATAGATACCAAAATGCAAATGCGTTGTTTATGACAAAGAGGGTAATGTAAGATTCGGAATATACTGGAGCATTCACAATGAATTATCAATTTTGAAGACAATATCTTAAAACCGTTAAAGTGAAATGTATCTGTTTTCGTGCTTAATTCTCAGTATGATTGTTTGTCACGTACCTGTAGATAGATAAATAAAGCTATAAGGAAAGTATAAGAAATTCATTCCAATTTAACTGCCTTCGTGGCCGAAACGGTTACCGTGCCGGACTGCCACATAGATGTCCTAGGTTCGATTCCCGGGCCGGGAGAAGTATTTTATGGCCTACATTTATTTCTCTCGTGAGTTTGGGTGTAATTTGTGGTTGTCTAATTGTGTGTGCATGGCACCCGCGACATGGGGTTTCCCTAGTGCTGGGCTATGTTGAATGTGTGCGTTATTATTATTATTAATCAGTCAAAAATATTTTCGTATGTAGTAGGTAGTACAATTTACAAAATTCTTGTTTTAAACCGAAAATTGAGGTGTGGACTGAAAATGAGTCCAGCTATCACTACAATCCTAAACATTTTAATGACAAAAACTAAATGTTTTTTTAATTCTTGATTATTAGTCACGAATATAGCTGGTTACTGCTTTCTTATAAAAACACCGGAAGAAGAGTAAAAACGTCATAAAAAACCTGGTCTGGTGATAATTTACTTTACTAACCTAATTACAATGAGCAACATACATTAAATTTACAACAAACAAATTACGTACTAAAATTTCTACGCGTTTGTAATAAGTTAAATTGCAATTTTCCGTTTATTCTTTCATGGACTACAGACATGTTTTAGAAGAAATTGTTATTTCAAAAAAGGCACCAATAAAGGTACAAATTTTATAAATATATATATATATATTTAATAATGGGAAAATAGACATGAATATGCTATAGGCGAAAAACATGACTCGTCGCGACGTTTCGACTCTGCGCCAGATTGAGTTTAGCCATACAAAATTGTTCATGATAAAAACTAGAATTATATTTCAGAAAAAAATGCCCCGCCCTGGGAGTCTAAAAGACCCAGATATAGCGGAACTTTTCTCCAAACATGACCCTGAGAAGATCTTCGAAGACCTTCGCGAAATTGGCCATGGCTCCTTCGGCGCAGTGTACTACGCGAGATGTAATCTTACCAAGGAGATTGTCGCCATCAAGAAGATGTCGTACCTTGGGAAACAGAGTGAAGAAAAGTGGCAGGATATCTTGAAGGAAATCAAGTAAGTTATTCATTATAAAGATACGATTTATAAATTGTAATGTATGTTGTATGTAATAAATATATTAATGCGCCATAAAATCCACTACAGTTGAAAATAAATCACTGTTCTAAAATCTTAGTATTTAAAATATAAAAATCGTAACATGTCTGTCACACTATTTTCGAGATCTTAAAAAAGAGAAAATATATTATACAAAAAGTGAACTTAAGGTATAAAAGCATCCGAATATCCGACCACTAATCATAAAGGTGCCTAAAGATTTGCTCCATTTTTTGACGTCATCTGTGTTCAGACAAAATTAAATAAATCTGTAATAACAGACGATCGTTATCGAATTTTTTTTTTGTGAATCGACAAAAAACGTGTTGATCGACAAAAAATTTATCAAATCTTCAGGCACCTTAACACAAGTCGAACGCTGCACATACATTCTTATTATTAGTGTTGTTTACCCACTTGCCAATTAGAAACCAAATATCATCCTATTGATATCATAGAAAGTAGGTGGGCAGCATCTCCGTGATTAATGTGCTCACAATGGCGATAACGACAAATCTTGCTTCTTTTGGAGAGGTCTATGCGTAGTGACGACATGCGGTCACTGCCTACCCTATTAGGAGACACGATAATGTAGTATGTAGATTTCTATAGTAGGCAAAACAGATAAACAATTGTGAGCTCACTCACAAATACCTATATAAAAAATAACGACGTCAAATAACTTCATATTATACTAAAGAATTAAAAATAAAATTTACATTGTAAGTCTTGGAGCCGGTCCACATGATAAGTGTTAGTCGCACGTTTTACTAAAGCGCGCTTACAACTACTTTTCACGTGAACCGGCTCTAGATGAATTACACAAGTATAATCTCGGTGTTCAAATAGTGAGGACGGCATATTATTGAAAAAAAGTTCATTTATCGACTTCTTAGGTTTTCGCGATTGTTACACATAGGAAATGAAACTAATTTCTTAATTTATTCTAATTTTCATTATGAATTAATAATAAATTTAACTTAATAAAAATTCATATACTTGAAATAAAATAATTTGTAAAACATAATGTACCGTAAATTGGAATGTTTCTTTGTAAAATTAAAAATAAGATATTTAATTAATAACTTTCATGACTATAGTAAAAAAAATAGGGAGGTTTGCATTAATATTAGACATAACTGGTTGATGACTGTACCTCCTCAGTCAACCGTAACCATGGGATCTGTACAGGGCCCGGAACGTGTTTTTTTTTTTGAAAAACAAATATACGCGATTTAAACACGGAAAACTTCATTTGTTTAACATTTTCTTCTTTAAAAAATATACCACATTTATACCTATGTTCAGCATTGTACTAATCCAGTCTGATATAATAATTGCTTACTACTCGTACGCATAACCTAACCCGGTCGACAGGAAAAATGGTTTTCAATATCCGTATGTGTTATGCAGGTTCCTGAAACAGCTGGATCACCCGAACACAATAGAGTACAAGGGATGCTACAAGCGTGAACACACAGCGTGGCTCGTGATGGAATATTGCGTTGGCTCTGCCTCTGATATTATCGAGGTAAGTCACCTTAGATTTATGATTCACTTATGTGGCCACGATAGGACGTATGCACACCGCACTCGATCGGTATCCGTTCTGAATCCGAAAAAATACAGATCTAGAAACTTGGACCAGCTGAACTGCGTTCTATTCGAATCCTAGAAAATACGGATATCGCTAGTACACATGAACATTCCCAATTCTAGGCACTATGGTGCTCTGTTGCATGCAGCGTTAAAGTCGTTCGTTAACTATGTGTCCTTTGCTAACAAGCTACACATTGACGTATCTTATTCCGTTGCAATGGAGGCGATTTTCGAACAAAAATGTCTAGCCGTTGTCCGTACATACAAAGGCATAGAAGAAATAAAGAGCTGTGGGTGCACCCACAGTTCTTTATTTCTCCTTCTCCTGATGAAGCTATCTTTCAGGGAAATGTTTTATAAGAATCACGATGAGCTAAGGCAAGGTAGCATGAAATTTTGTAGTTATTACTTAAGGGCGCATTGCTACTATGTTGTGACGACAGAATGTCGTGCAGTTTACAGTGTCCTGGCTTGTATATTTAAATGAAGTTGTTCACATATAACACGACACGATTAACTGTCGTTCACGATTTTTTATCGTTACAACGACAAACTGTCGTCACAGTGGGAACAACAGAAAGACAGTCGTCGAACGATAAAAAAATTCACGATAAAAACGTGACGACAGATTGTCGCAGCTCCTATTGTCATCACGTTTTATTTATCGCTGTCTGCACGTATTCTGCTCCCTGCCCTCCCCTCTTGTACCCCGCGCCGTCTGCTCGCTTTGCAGTAGCGTTGGGTCGTAGCCAGAGATGGGTAAGGAGACTGTCGTGAAACGATAAATTGTCGTCACGACCTAGTGGGAACAGGCTAGACACGACAGTCGTCCAACGATAATAAAACGTGACGACATAGTGGGAACGCGCCCTAATTCTAGTTGGATTTAATTTTATATCCTCCGCGCCGCTACCGCCGCAGATTCGAACTGAGAAAGGTCGCAGTGTGCAGCCATTAATACAAATAATATTGTTATTACTTCGACCCGCGAACATAATGATCTGAATTGAAGGTTTAACTGCCTCTGTGGCCGAACGGTTACCATGCCGGACTGCCACGCAGAGGCCCCAGGTTCGATTCCCGGGCCGAGAGAAATAGTTGTATGGCCTACAATTATTTCTCTCGTGAGTTTGGGTGTAATTTGTGGTTGTCTATGTGTGTGTCCATGGCACCCGCGACACAGGGTTTCCCTAGTGCGGGGCTATGTTGAGTGTGTGCGTTATTTATTTATTTATTTATTTATTTCTCTCGTGAGTTTGGGTGTAATTTGTCGTTGTCTATGTGTGTGTCCATGGCACCTGCGACACAGGGTTTCTCTAGTGCGGGGCTATGTTGAGTGTGTGCGTTATTATTATTATATTACAGGTATTCTCGACTTCAGAAAAGTCGGATTTAGTGCACAAACCCTCAATTTTTATCTTAAATTGTACCACGATTACTTCGGACCGCCATTTCTCGGATTTGAAACTGCGTTCTCCGTCCGAGAGCCATTCGAAACAATTACTCTCAAATAAGTAATACTCGACCAAATTTAAAAAGACGCATGATGCGGATCAGGCTCCCATACTTGATATTATCTTTTAATTTGATCGACTACTATTTATTTTAGAGAGTAGACCCCCTGACACGGATCGAACGCAGTGCGCAAAAGTCCCATCTTTACCGCAACTCTACGTGATGAACTTTTATAATAAAATAAATGTCACCACAACCGTCATCGTGTGGCACCGTACTAATTCTGCTGTGTAAAATAAAAGACATTGCGGCTACATCAGGGTTGGTTTCACGAACACGAGAACCAAAAATTGTATTAAAAATTAACAGTTATGAACAAAGCAAGGATTGAATCTAAAGTTTGTTGAACTTAGTCCATCATCACGACACCAGTATTGTGCCAAAACAAAAAGCGCAAGTTTGTAAATTTTCAATATTTAATACTTCAATCTGTAATAAATAAATACTTAAATCTTTGAAGTATACGATCGTCACATGCGGGCTTTCTCGTCGGTTTGTTACAGCAGAATGCTATTATATTATCATATATCGAGTAATTATTAATTTTTATGATGTCTTTATCAAGATAGACGATGTTGTTAATTATTATTCATTCGTTTTATATTATTCAACGTAACTTTGCGTAATTGTCAGCGAAATTTGAGCTAAATGAAATAAACAAAACCTGTTTAATAGATAAAAGTTGTTTGTAGCAACTATGGTACTGCTCTAAGTATTAGATGAAAGTAAGAGTATTAGTAATAATAATACCTTCCACTGAAATCACAGGATTATTGTATTTATTTTGTTCTACATTTATAGTATGACTAAGAATTACTTTACTGCGGTCGTGTATTTAGAAGAAAAAAGTTTTGTAATTATATGTAAACATATATGACTAATAGTAGAGCTCCTTGTGAAAGAATTTGTCCAGGGAAGTACTGCCATTTTCCCTATTTCTGCCGCCAAGCAGTAATATGAGCATTACTGCGTTCCGATTTTGAAGTCTATGTATGTACTGACGAAACTACAGGCACATACATGGGATTTGTCAATTTGTCTCAGGTTGCTTTGTGATTTAAAGCTCTTAAGTGGCACAGCAATTGCTACGGACAGGCGTGTCGCTTACCACCAGGCGCACGACTTTTTTGTTCCGTCATTTGATATTATAACAAAAAGAAAAACTAACGGTATAAACATTTTCACTGCGGTCACAATAAACCGGTAATTACACTAGTTCGGCACATTCGCCATTTTGCTTTTTCCACTTTTCATGACGTTATTAAATTTGTGAAAATGGAAAGATTACAATGATTTTCCTATATATCTGTCTATTTTAGAAACATTACAAAATTGTTGACACAAAAGCGCATTTGGACGAGAAACAGCATATATATTCTGTATGTCGTTTTTATAGTTCATTTCACATAGCATGGGTACGGTGACGTTTGAGATTTGAAGTTTATAGAGATGTAGTGATGTAAAATCGAATGAAGAAAAATCGATTTAAATACTATCTTATCGAGATAATTTAGAAACAACAATTTATGCGAGATACATAACAGTCAATTCGATGTGTCGATTGTATGGTGTAAATCTCTAAGGATAAATATTTCATTTTGTTTCTACTTAAAATACTGTAATCAGCAACTATTTTTTTTTTGCTTAAGTTTGTTTTTTGTAACATAGCTGCTATTTCTTTTTGTAACCTGGCTGAAAGATTAAGTCAAAAATAGCATGCGTGCAGCATAAAAATTGGTAATCTCACAGCACCCATCCTATGTGAAATGGACTATAGTTGAAACCTGTTGAAAACGGTAAATTCAAACCGACCGATTCACGTAATGTTTATTAATAATAGTATGATGACTACCTAAGTCGCCAATGACCAGATAAGAGCGACACATTTCCGGTGAACACAATTCAAAAACTGAAAGAACAACCACGACAAACATCCTGTCTTCTGGATGGAGAGTGGCAGTAATACTCTTAGCCAATAATTGTCATAAATAATGTACAAAATTTGGCCGCCATTCATATGGATCTAGAGAAATTCTATTCTATTCTAGTCTTGTAATGCTCATGCTTGCAGTTGTTGAGGTGGTTCATAGTGACATCATTTTCTAGAGAAAATTGACAGTTCGGAGAAGAGATAAGTTTTGTCTGTGGGCTAAGCATTCAAGTTCCTATTTAATTAAATCGGCTTAAAAAAAATTAAGAATAATTACAGGAATTGAAACTATGTTTGTTTTTGTCAATCAGCCGCGATCATGTGACCTGTAAAGGGTCCGAAATGTTGGTTTGTTTAAAACAAAAAACAAATACGCGAATTACATATGAAAAAAAAACATAGTTTTATTTCGTATGTGTAGCAATCACGAACACACTCAACCAAGCACAAAATATTCACAAATATGATACTAAATGACTAACTAAACACACATAGAATGAAATACACTTCCACTCAAAAGGAAGAGTAGTATTAATAATTTACACAAATTTCGAATACACAATTCATATTATCATTAGGTATTCAAATTTCATTGAAATCGGCTGCAATCAAAATTGACGTCAAGAAGGTGACGTGTTGAATCATCGTTAGAGATCGTATTAGTCGGAATTTATTTACCTAAACTTCAAGGAGATAATATACCCATGCACTAGATAATACCTTCCACTGAAATCACAGGATTATTGTATTTATTTTGTTCTACATTTCTAGTATGACTAAGACTTACTTTCCTGCGGTTGTGTATTTAGAAGAGAAAAGTTTTGTAATTATTTGTAAACATATACATATGACTAGGTATTTCTATTATTTCGGGATTTTTGAATTAGGTCTTATCCACTCTATGTGCATTACTTGAAGTTTAGTTAAAAATACTATGCCAATTTCGAACTCTGAATATGTTTAATCTTGATTGTTGCAATATTTATGAAACTTGTGCCTTGTTAAAAAATGTGTTCAAAATTATAAACTTGCTCAGTAACGATCAGTAAAAAAAACATTCGAAGAATAAAGTAAAATATTATCATATCATATATGTGGGGTAATGGCCATGAAAAGCCTCCTCTTTTGAATCGAACCCAATGACGTGACGAAATTTTTGACTTATCAATGTTTATCCACGCAATTTATATCATTCAAGTCTATCGGCCAATACCTACCACTTATCGATGTACTCGATATTTTCAGACTGTTGATCTTCTTTGGAACATTGTGTGCTCTGGAAATGAATGAACATAAGTGAAGATTTGAAACTTAATGGCAGGGTCGACTGCCACCTTCGGCTGACTACTACACGTTATCGAAAGAGGCTCAGTCGACATGCTGTTTACACAGAGTCGAGTGCCGCTTCTTCGGCAAGCGAATTCAAATGACGAAGGCGGCATTGTCGACGCGCTGTTTACACCGAACTGCCGCCGTCGCTGAAATCATCACGTCTTTATAAATACAAGTTTAGACACAACAAATTAATCAGTTATGTAGTTATTCTCCGGCCCACTTCACGCGCAACGTTGTGGAGAACGGCCACCGACACGTTCAAACTTGTTTGATCGACCATCGCTTGCCGAAGGCGACCGAATCGCCTAAAAGTAACTTCGGCAACTAGACATGGGGAATAGCGTTACATTTCTATCGCCGTGACCGTCGTTCCGGTTCCAAAAAAATCACAGTGATAAATTGTCGTGATTTTGTCACGACTGTTACTTCCGTGACCTTGTCACGCCTATAACTTACATCACGATATACGGTTTTAGCCAGCGGCTTCTTTCTAATACTTCTAGCCATTTTTTATACAATGATTTAAGTTTTTACTCCCTTTTAAGTTTAAATTCCATTCAAAAAGTTAATTTTGTATTTAATGTAATTTTGTTTGTTACTTATTTAATGCGAATCTTAGGATTATTAAAAATAGCAATAAAGTGTAATGTAATTATATTTCTAGTAGAATACACAAAATAGATTATACGTAAATATAAAATACCAGCTCTTCCTATAATAAAACAAATATTCAAAAATATTTTACTTTGTTCATAAATAGGTTTATAATAACTGCTGCAGATTTTTTTCATCCGCCCTTTCTAGTAGTAATAAGCACCAACGAACCTTGTGAGTGAGCAAAGAAAGTCATCCTATTTCATTCACTCCCATCGCCGAAATGGCTCGATTTGAAGAGAACTACAACGAGTGGCGCGCTCAGTCACCACGGAACGGAGATCGCGCATTGTATCAAATACGTATGTCGTGATGTGAGTGACGGGGATAGCTATTGGAACGGAGGAACACCTATGTGACTTTGGAACGTCGTTCTTTCGGAACGAGTCACGGTGATACTATTTGACGGCGGATCATCGTGATTTTTTCATCGTGACGTTATTTATCACCCACCTCTAGTATTTACACCGTCGTCGTCCTCAATGGATAAGCGTAGGTGACCGATCGACCTAGTGTAAACAAACCATTACACATACAGCATTATCTCTTATGCTAAGTCCTTTAACACTACTGCTATAATTTTGAAGACAATTCTAAATCGATTGCCATCACATGGCATATTTTATCTACATTGGTTGTTGGTCGAATGTCTTTTTTTAACACGTCCTAAACACGCAGTGTACACGTGAGATGTTCAATTGAACAGCTTTAATATTTACAGTAATATTTTTGTCCACACCGTAGGAAATGTGAGAGGAATTTTTTGAGTACCATATGGTTTAAAAATCAAAATATCCTACCGCAAATTAGACGACACGTGGTAAGCATCGTTGCATTATAAATGGACTTCGACAAAGGCTAGCACGTGATGAATTAAAAGGAAATAACAAGGTGAAAGTATGTGTTTCCCATATGAAGTTTTATATATGAAACATAACAAAGATGTAAGAAGTAGTTCCCACGAGCTCTCTCCAAGTAATTCATTCATGAGTTGCCACCGCACGCTCTAGATGCAAATTAATATGATCTAGCCTCTTGATTTAGCTTCTTGTTTTTCAAGTTTACATAACTAATAAAAAGTTATATTTGAGGCTATCGGCGCAAAATTGGTGTAACCCACATATTATTTCTATATTTTGCGAATTTTGGAAGTGGGTTATGACCCTATATATGCGTCTAGGACAGTGCAGAAAACTACTGTTGATTATATGAGAAATCATTGCAATATACCATTACGTCAATAAACCAAAATAAACCTAATTTTAAACCATACGTAAACACCGTTTCACTGCTCGATTATTCCGGTTATTTGGTACAAAGATAAATCTTATAAAAATATCGTATATTTTTAAGTAAAAGAAGTGTGGTGGATGTAAAGTCTCCTTGAAAGCAACTAAATCAGAAACAAAGCATATTTTTTATCGTCAGGAAAGTAGGAGGTTCTCAGTTGAACTGTATATTTTTTTCATGTTTATGGTACGCAATTAATCCGACATTTTGTGAATCGATTTCGAAGTTTCTTTTTTTGTTGGAAAAGAGGTGGTACCTCAGTAGTGGTCCCATTTAAATTTGAAGAAAATATTCCATCTCTAACAGCGGAAATATAGATGAATCCGGTTTATTGGATTACACCCCCTTGCCGTTAACCGATTTCAATAAAATTTACCAAATAGACCACAAACTATGGAGGTCGTTTTATTTTTTTATAAAAAAGTTGTAATTATTTTTCTCAGGTCCATAAACGCCCTTTACGAGAAGAAGAAATAGCAGCAATATGCGAAGGCGTAGTCTGCGGACTATCATACCTTCACAGCCTGGGGCGAATCCATAGAGACATAAAAGCGGGGAATATTCTTCTCACGGAGAACGGCACGGTAAAACTCGCGGATTTCGGCAGTGCAAGCATAAAGTGCCCGGCTAACAGTTTTGTTGGTACGCCGTATTGGATGGCTCCTGAAGTTATACTGGCTATGGACGAAGGACAATACGACGGAAAGGTTCGTATTATTAATTTTTAACTAGCACGACAGACAACGTATCTATGCTAATAATACGGTAATATACCGAATAAGGGAATATACCGTTACGACAAAATATCTCTTAGGACATTTCAAATTTCCACCGTATAATATATAACCCTTATATCGTTACCTGCAATTATTAAATTTCTTCTAATAATTTCGTCGATGCATCGAATTTTGAAAAGTCGTAGGCGACATTTTGTAGTGAGGAACATTTTCCATTACGACAAAATATTCCTTACGACATTTGAAATTTCGCGCTTAGAGGAAACAGATTACCGGAAATGTCTAAACGGAACAGAATGAATTTTCGAACTCGTTGTTTAATCAACTAATATTCAATTTATTCCCTTATGAGAGGCGAAAGCATCAAATTTATTGCTATATTGTAGTAAATAATGAATTAAAATTATATGTATGATGATTACATTACTTCAGGTGGACGTGTGGTCTCTGGGTATAACGTGTGTTGAGCTGGCGGAGCGAAAGCCTCCTTATTTTAACATGAACGCCATGTCCGCTTTGTACCACATTGCGCAGAACGAATCGCCTACGTTACAAGTAAGTTAAACCTTTGTTAACACGTTTACAGTACCCCATATAAACCGGAATATGTGTGAAATAGTGTTAGTTTTGTCTTTTCTGCCGTTCTCTAACTAAACGGCTAAGTGGCAAAATAATTTTTCGAGACATCATTGAAAACCATAACCCAGTTTTAGAATATTGAAATTGTTTAATGATATTTCAGCTATGCATTGTTAGGGTAAGGTCCGATAAATCGAACACGTTAACTAATTTTAACTGTTTTTAAAAGGGAATATTGTGCTCTATCTTTTGCTATTTAAAACGGATATTTGACCATTTTTCACTTGGCTGTGTTTTAGTTAGTGGACGGCAGTCTTACTCTCATATTATATATTTATATAATCTCATATTATTATTCATATATTTTGTTATTTTTGAAAAATTATACCTATAAAAGACTACCCAGTTCACAAGTTTAGGAAAATCAGGACTGATCTACAAGTCCAATCAACATATTTGACATTGAAGTAGTGTGTTCTTGCGACTCCATAGGTATGCGTGGACTTTGAAGTCAGTTTGCAACTCCAGGTAAAGTCATGTACTGTGAACGTGTTAAGTTATTCTGTTACTGGGACTTCTGAGCTTTGCCTTGCAGAAGTTCTGTAACAAGACTTGCATTGATCCTCCTGGAAATTTTACCGTTATCGAAACTCAATGAATATTATAATTTCACTTGGATTAAAATTGATTACTGATTTATATAATTCTTTTTTTTTTCAATCTGATTTGTTTACCGAGTTCAGTTTGGAATTTGAAACTATCAATAGACGCGAATGAACGTCGCGAAGAAGCGAATCTCGAACAAGATTCCAGAGCATATATTGTCATTTCCTAAGGTTAAAACTTACCTTCATCGTATATTGAAAAGTTATATTACAAAATTGAAATCTACGTGTTGGATAAAGATACATGAAAAGACGTCATGGCTCTAGATTCCACGCAAATTTGATTCAAAGTGTATTCCGTTTAAGTTAATAAATATATAATAAAGTATAATAAAGCTTAAGTTTATTTAAAAAGAGCAACCCCTAAAATTTCTGGCTCGTTCTTCTCAGGGAAGTTAGCATAGTGAATGAGCAGTAGGTTAATGACATTTTCAATTGTAAATTTATTTTATTTCGTTTAATTTGTTGACTTTGATTTGAAAGTCATTATAGATTAGCTCAGGTTTTACATCAATGTGTATTTCTCTCTACAGGCGCCAGAATGGTCGGCCGTATTTCGTTATTTCGTAGAAGCGTGTCTCCAAAAAAACCCTTCAGACCGCCCAACGTCGACAAAGCTCCTATCACACCCTTTCATCACGAACCAGCGCTCGTCCACCGTGCTAGTCGATCTCATTCAGAGGACAAAAGCAGCAGTACGGGATCTCGATAACTTGAATTATAGGAAGATGAAGAAGATACTTATGGTCGACGGTGATAATGAAAGTGCTATTGGTGAGTTTTATAACTATAATAATATAAATAGGTTTTAAGTCAAATACACTTCTGCTGCACTTTTGAAAATATTAACATATATGAGTAACACCCATGCTTCTTCAAAAGCGGTGATGTATGTTTGACCGATTTTGGGTAATTTTCAGTTAAGTTTTCTTTATCTAATTTTGGTAGCAATATTGATTAATTAAGTATTCCAGTGTATATTATCGTGAAATATTAAATAATATTTTAAGATAATACCACTCAAATATAATAATAGTGCGACGAAACCTATCTCTTATTACTTATATATTCCGTCTAATGCGCGGAGCCTCTTATAATAATCTCCTTATTACCAATTATAGGTTTCTACGTTCCGCGGTCATGCGCGGTGTGATCGTACTTACACAACGGTTATTTGCCCTGCTCGCCTTGCTACTTTGCCTAATTATAGGTTTCTACGTTCCGCGGTCATGCGCGGTGTGATCGTACTTACACAACGGTTATTTGCCCTGCTCGCCTTGCTACTTTGCCTATTACTCGGTGTAAATCCAGTAGGTCGGCTCCCTTGCCTTGGGCGAAACTAATTAATCAGTTGCTTATCTTCGACTCCTCGATAAATCTATACAATTGTTCAGAGTCTAAATTTATATTCTCCTTGGACTCTACCTCTAATCATTGACCAGACCAAGCAGTGTCTAAGTTCAGCTTTACTATAATTTTAATTTTTAATCAGACATTTTATTACGTTTTACTTGATGACATTTTACTTTATTAATTTTTGTGTTCCCTATAACCTTAGCGTGAATTTTTGTTACTAATTATGAATAATGTATTATTGCATGTACTATAACTTTACTATATTTATTTTATGTAATTCGACTTCAGCAACTATTGCGCCTAGATATATTCTGAAATAAATTAATTATAATAACGCACACACTCCACTAGGGAAACGTTGTATCGGGGGTGCCATGGACACACACACATAAACAATCACAAATTACACCCAAACTCACGAGAGAAATAAATCTAGGCCATACAAATTTACTCCCGGTCCAGGAATCCAACCTCGGACCACTGTGTGGTATACCAGTATGGTGACCGTTCGGCCACAGAGCAGCTAATATTAAATAATACTTCATGATAATATTCTGTAATATTTAAATAAAAAACATGTTATAATTAGGTACTTTCGTTATCACGTTTCAGTTAAATATTTAGTCGTATTATATGTTGTGCAGGAGACAGCGAAGAAACAGCGGAGGAGCGGTCGGGTGGCGATAGTAGTAAGTCGAACTCTGCCACGTCCGAGCACAGCGCCGCCGGTGCCTCCAGCCAAAGCTCTTCCTCCGGCAGTCTGCGAAGACGACCGAGGCCTGTGAGTACACTTCGTACCTTTGGTATAATAATGCCACATGTGATCATATACGTCGTATGTACTTTTATCACATAAAAGTCTTAATAATAACACTCACTACATGAAACAAATCGACACCAGCAATGAACACTATGCTGAATTGAATTTTGACAATTTTTTTCGTTTTTAATGACAAATTATTCAACTAATTTCAAATTAAGAAAAAACAAAAAGTAATAATCATATATTTTATAATCTATGATGAAAAACTTGTAGTAAAAGAATCCATGTTTGAAAATTAAATAGTTATCATTAGTTTACCTTTTATAGGCTCTGATGAAAAAATTGCAATATTTACGTTCGCATAGTGTTAATTGTTGATATCGAAATTATCTATATCGACTGTGAACTGGCAACCGGTGTTATCTCAATTTTCTAAAGATTTCACTTTTTAATTATTTATTTATACATAATTGAACTAACATTACAGGTAAAACCTAGTTCGTTAGACAGGCACATAAATAAAATAGTTTAAGAAACATAATATGTTATTATATGTTATGTTTCTTAATATATAATAACATAATATATAATAACATATTAATACCATATTATACTATTTCATACTCCGCAGCGTTGCAAGAAATTCCATCTCAGATACATTTAATTTTGGCCCCAGAATCAACTTCATTCAACTTGTCCTCATTTTTAACCAGATGCTGTATAAATGACGCAAACAATTATTTTCTTCATCCTGTAAAATTTTCAAAATTGAGATATTACTGGTTGCCAGTTCACAGTCGATATGTGAAATTTTATAACTCCCCTATATAAACGTATAAAGTAAGCGACTAATTTCGTTCGTAGAACCCTTAAATCTCTCTTGAAAAGTTGTAATTCTGCAGAGGTAGCCTTATTTGTAAACCAGCGTACATTTAGTAGCAGTAGAGCTCCTTGTGAAAGAATTCTTCCAGGGAAGTACTGCCATCTTACCTATTTCTGCTGCCAAGCAGTGATGTGAGCATTATTGCGTTCCGGTTTGAAATGGCGCAGTGGCAGTACCCCTAAGATCATTGCGATTAAAACTGTCATGGATAGGCGTGTCGCTTACCACCAGGCAACACCAAACAAACAACAAACAAGTCGTGCTTGTTCGTACCGTCATTTGGTATTTAAAAAAAAAACATTAACGAAATTAAACACCATATTGATTTATATCGCAGGTGAACGCCAACCACCACGTGCCACACCCAGTGCAGCAGCCCTATGCTCATCTCAATCATCAACACTCGCCACACCCTCCCAGGTTTGTTAATCATTACCACATTGCTTGCTTACATTTGGTTTAGGAATTATTCATACATTCCGCAAGAAAATAGTAGAATAAAACGATATAATTTGGTGTTGGTTTGCATGAAAAAACGGTAGTGTTATTGTGGTGGCTATAAGGTTCAGATTCATTTATAAATAATGATCTTGTTAGTTGGTAGTCAAGTCATAACACTTAATAAATGTTCACAATATGTATTACGTTGTGTACTCATTGTCTGGTATATGCGTGGCCAATGTCCACATACTATATGAATATCACCAGTGTATGTGAGTAATAGCTGACAATTAAGTTTTGAGCCCTAAATTCGTGATATCGTCAGTGGTCGAAATTAGTTTTACTGAATCCAACAGCATGACGAGAATCCAAATCACAATTGGCAGCTGGTAGGTAAGGTATTGTAGTTTTGATCAGAATCATTATTATAGAGAATTCGTAATGAGAAAATCAGCAATATCTAGTAATTACAACTTGATTATGCAAAAGTAGATTATAGTGTATTAGTCAACTAAGTAATGAGTATTATAATGCTTTATAGTATAGTAGTAGTAGTAGTAGAGCTCCTTCTGAAAGACCATTGTGTTCGCCCATGGAAGTACTAACTGCCACCTTAACTATTTCTGCCGCCAAGCAGTAATGTGAACATTACTGCATTCCGGTTCGAAAGGGTCTGGTGCTGGTGAAATTACAAGCACCTGAGACCTTGTGAACTTATGTCTCAGGTTAATGGGCACAGTGGCAGTGCCCCTAAGATCTTTGCGATTAAAATCTCTGAGTGGCACTGCAACTGTTCTAGATGGCGTGTCGCTTGCCACCAGGCGCACGACTTCTTTGTCCCGTCACTTGGTTAATATGAGCTTTGAGTAATCTGTACGTCATACCCTTAGTATAATAAAGCCATGTGTGATCATGTGTCAAAAGTGTTTTTATCACATGAAAGTCATGAAAATATCACGAAATACATGAAACCAGTTACGTTTATATGAAATTGTAAAAGTCTCCTATTTAAACAAAAAATTTGCGAACTAATTTCGTTCGTAGAATCTTGAAACTTGTCCAAACAAACTTTAAACTCCTAAAAAGGTGTAATTTTGAAGATAAGGGTATTTTTACTCCGCACTCAAAAAAGGGCGGGTCATATGTAATTAAACTAGAAACTACCTTTAATTGTAGTAGTACTTTTTGACCATTATGTGCATGATGTATACAATGCATTCGTATCACAATTATTTCACAGTGTATATGTTTTATGTACAGTGTATATGCTTTATGTAAATAGTAGCTTTGCACGTGGCACTAGTGGTAGATTTGTCGCACCTTTCAGACGCAAGTGGCTTTACTCATGTTGCTGTTTCGTACGCAGAGAGAGCGAGAGCCCTATTCCCGCTCCGCACGACGACTACGTCAATCGCGACGCATTGAGAGAGTACGCCAATAGAGATTCCCTCGGCGACGACTACGGTGACGACTACGCGAATAGAGAGGCGATTAGGGAGGCACAACTGGAAAGAGAAAGAGATAGGGAAAGAGTGGCGAATGAATACAGAGAGTACGTTAATGCGCCCTCGACGTGGCAGCAGGATAGTGGAGATGATAATAGGAATACGCAACGGCGGCCAAATAGAGAACGTGAGTGTTTTTTGTTCGGTTAAATACTCCTCATACTTTAGCCAATACTCTCACCTCTTAATATTACCGGAGGTTTTCTACCGCCATCCCATCTTGCCTATTATTACTCCAAACAGGATATTATGTATTTATTTTATTGCAATATTTTTTTACGATCTTTTAACTACCACGATGTAACCCAAATACTTAAATGAAACCAAAATACTGTCGGGACTCAAATTATTATTAGTATTATTGAGAATTGATATGAAAATTAAAAAAAAATACTCAATGCAACCAATATAAATGATGATTAAGTATTATGTATAAATAAAAATCATTGACATTATTCTATTTATTACTATATTTTGTTTTTATTTTTCAAATTGTGTTTTCTCAATTCCACAATTTTGAGTTACTACAATATATGGTTTCATATGCGTTATGTTATTATTGGTAAGAGGTAAGAGCGGTGGTAACGGTAACAGACGCTGACTCGATTCCAGTCAGTTCGATGGAATTTTTCTTTTCGTTTGTTCGATTTTTATATCAGTAACGACTATGGTGTTTTTGATAGTCATTTTAGTTTTGTGGTGTATAATCGCCAGGCCACTAGAAACTCGATTAACTCAAGATAATATTTTGTTAGTATTATTTAAATGGTCTTCTAGTACTTAGAGGGTAACGTAGAAAATTCCTTTGAATACCATTTATTGTATCCTTTGTATATGTAGACATAAGCAACAACGTGTCTGCGGCGCTGTCACTGGTGTCGGAACATGGTGCAAACAACTTCGCCACCATCCGCACCACCAGCATCGTCACCAAACAGCAGAAGGAGCACAACCAGGCTAGTTACATTTTCATTATCTTTGGGAACTTTAGCTTGTTTGTCCTAAATTCAAAACCTCCTAAAGATGAACAAAAACCGGAAGTGAATGCTCTCGTGTTACCCTTAAATACATTGTAATATCAACGTGAAAGTAAACTTGCACGTCAACAACAATTGGACGTAATTAAGCAAAAAGGATCCCACCCACAAATTATCAAAAAGTTAGTTGCATGCACCAAACGGTTCCTAAAGTCTAACCTCTTAGATCAACAAAAAAAATGCAACATACATATAAACATAAATAAATTTCTCTGGAGTTACATGACATTACAAGTTTTGAAAGTGAAACAAGGTGAGAGACACTTTTAAACTTCAAACTGCCATATCTCGAAAGTGACTGGATGTGCATTGGATCCTTTTTGTGTAACTACGTCCAATTAACAAAAACAAAAATGAACCTTCAAGACAAGAAATTTCAAGATCAACATGTTGCCCTACAATGTAATGTAAAAAGACCCTTGCTACTATTCATAATACATTTAGTTGTGAAAACACGGATTATATAGGAGCTGACATGTACAAAGAAATATAGTTTCACTGAGAACGGAATTTCTCGCGCATTCCGCGGAAGATTTTGGGCTCGTATCTAGTTTGTACTGTACACGATTGACCATATAGCTCATTATGCTATGTTACATATGTGTAAAAACTCGCTTCCACGCCGTTCCGCCGCAATGTAAATTGAGCTTTAGGGATTTATTATTTAACAATTCGAACACTGTATAGTATATTTTATTAGTCAATAACTTGTTTAATTATTTTTAAATAGCATAACGTACTCAGACCTTAGTAAAATCGATAAATTATTTCAAATTACTGTAACTAATATATGAACCATTCACAGGAGATGCACGAACAAATGTCAGGCTACAAACGAATGCGGCGCGAGCACCAAGCAGCATTACTGAAACTGGAAGAACGTTGTAAAGCCGACGTAGACGCGCACAAAGCACAGCTCGACCGCGAGTACGATGCACTACTGCAACAGCTTAGCAGAGATCTAGAACGGCTGCAGGTATTTATATTCATATATGGGTATTTCTCCGTTTACTTTATAATAATAATAATGTTCCAGCACAAATACAGAAGGCGGTCCTGCTCGATGCGGCACGTATTGTTCGCCGGTTTTTGAGTCCTGACCCCGGTCGCCTATTCCATTATAGTATACAATACAAAATGCATTGCCGGGAAATACCGCCTCTCTCATTTAAAAATACAAAATTAATCTTAATAAGAGAGGCGAGATTCTAAAATAAATTGTTAGATAATAATAATGTGCCAATCATTGACTTACAAATAAATGGACGACGGGTCTAATACAAAAACCACGAAAAATATGTCCCAAGTCAACCTATTCGAAATTTAAATTGTTATGTCATCGCAGTATCGCACTGTCCGTAGAACAAATGAAGACTAAAGCGGAGTGTCGCGCTCTGTATACGATTTTAGCGCCTTACAAGTGCGGACACTTTTTAGCGCGGACCCGACGTCCATATAATTGTAAGTCAATGGTGCCAATCAACCACACCAATTACCAGGTCTCAAATTAAGGAATTCCCTGTACCAAAGCAATGGTATTCACTCTGGGGCACTACTCAGAACACCCAGACCAGAACCAATTTATGAAAATTCGTTTCCCAAATTTGCTCTACCGGGACCTCCACAACTAACGCCCACGGCGCAAATCATTGAGACACCGAGATCATCAAATGTACAACAAAACGTTTGAAAAAATCACGCTTCAGTTGCAACGATCCATTCTAGTTGCACGTGATAATTAAATTGGACACAAAGTCGGGTATAAAATTGTTATTTTGTGAAATTAAGTTTTTTGTATCATTTCAAACTTTTTTTTTTATCGAAAAATATCGCCCCAGCTTTTATGGATAGTGAATATAAAAAGAACTTAACAGATGGGTGAATGTTTCAAGCATTTTTATATTGAATTACAGACGAAACACGCGCAAGAGTTGGAACGCAAACAAAAACAGAACGCAGCGGCAGAAAAGAAGCTGATAAAGGATATAACAGCTCGGCAGGAGCAGGAGAGGAAGGCGTTCGACACGCAACGCAAGCGCGAGTACAAGGCTAACAAAGAACGCTGGAAAAAGGAGCTCAGTATGGATGACGCCACGCCTAAGAGACAGAGAGACGCTACGCTACAGTAAGTCATGTTTCTTTTCATCGAAATTGGCAATAATTACCCTTTGTCGACCAATTTCATTAGTTTCTTTAAATAAATGAAATCAAGGTAAATTTTCGCGTGTTGACATAAATGAATTCGATCTTTGTATTAATAATTATAACAAAGTAGTGGAATAATTTCACAAAAAATAATTGAATATCAATTCAACAAAAATTTAACATATGAATATAATTTTATATTTTTATACAATTTAATAATCATAATAAATACGATTTCAGATTAATGATTCATAATAGTAACTGCATAAGAATTAATAGTTGTTAAATGTTGAAGTCAAATAGAATTCTTTTTACGGATTAAATAGTTAAACTTGTTTAATACTTTTAGTATGTATAATCATTAATAACCATTTGCTTTAATTAAGTTTGAGCTCTCTGATGATTGGTTGTTAGCTTTGTTTTGTCATATCGCCCACTCAATCCTAATGCTTGTAGGTCGCAAAAGGATAACCTAAAGCAGGCCGAGGCGGCGGAAGAGGTGCGGCTATTACGCACACAGCGCGAGTACCTCGAACTAGAGCTGCGCCGCTTCCGCCGGCGCCGCATGCTCGCTATGCACCACAAGGAACAGGAGTTACTCAGAGAGGTAAGAGTGACCACAATGACTACATGAAGATAAGATAAATTATTTCAATATAACTTAGTCTAATACAATATACAAGCAAAACAAATATCGTCACCTTACTTTTTCAAACTCGTATCTTAAAAGCACAAGTTACTGAAATGCAAAAAAAAGAATTGTATATACAACTTTTGCAGGCTGATGTCTTCTTAAAGTAATGCATCCAAATTAACACCCTTGATAAAAAATTTAAAATAAGTAAAAAGTTTTGCCATCTCCTGAACAATCATTCTTTTATTTTTATTTATTTATTTATTGATACACCATCAACTTAACACAAAACAATATTTTTTTTAAAATACACACAAGTTCACTATACAAGGTGCCAAGTCACTACAGGTGTATACATCACTAAAAATCTAATGTTAACCAATGAGGTACTAAAGAAAATATATAATTAGAAATATAAAATTACAGTAATAATTAGTTATCTATAATAGATATTTACAGCTTTCATAAGTTCAAACAAATTGCTTGCACATACGAAGAAACTGCTTAGTATTTTTTATATTAAAGATATCTATGTCGCCGTCTCCAGTCGTAAGTAAGTCATTGTATGACTGCATGAGTCTGTTCAAGGGGGCATACTTTCCAAGATTAGTCCTGCCACTAGACAAAACAAATGTTCTGACTATGGGGTACCTAGGCACTTTACGGGGAACGTTAAAATTAGTGAGGGCAAGAGCCTCTGGCGACGACATACCTCCATGCACTATCTTATGCAAAACTCCAATATCGATGATTCTGCGTCTGGTCTCAAGAGACAGCATTTTGAAATTGTGTAGGCGAGTATTATATTCAGCACGATGGGGACTTCAGTCGGGGTCTTTATATGCCAGAAAACGAGTAAAGTTACGTTGTATCCTTTCAATTCGTTCACAATGAATTCTATAATGTGGATTCCAAATTGGGGATGCATATTTCTAGGCACTACGTATCAAAGTGTTATATAAAGCGAAGCGAGTATGGCAGCCGGACTCCTGAAGTCCCTGCAAGAGCGTTTCACGAAACCCACCAGCTTCCAAGCCTTTAATATGATACTATTAATATGGTCCGTGAAATTTAACTTGCTGTCAAACATGACCCCTTTATAAAGATGCGAGTTCGTGAAGTAAGGCATCGATATGTAAATAAAGCTATTATAGTACTAAAATAAGCATAAAGAAGGGAACCTAAATTATACAATCGTCATAGTAAAGCTATGCATTTTAATATTAGAACCATATGTGTAATTGCGATGCCTAAACAAAGTAAATGTGTACCTGTATTTTAGGTATCTTTTTGGGGCAAATTTCTTTATGACACAGATTAAACATTCGAGGGATACCGCACATTAGTGCCTTTGCTGGGTATAATAATAATAATAATGTGTCAGGCAACCACACCAGGACTCCGATTCAGAACGATATCTTAACCGAATATTTCGATTGGATATCAGTCTAGAATCGAAGGGCGTTTTTCGACCTATTCAGAACATTCGATTCGGATTCGGATACGATATCGTTATCCAACAACGTTTATGGAGATAGTCGGCGAATAAAGAGTACAAGAAAAATCAAATCCTTTTATATACATTTTGAAGACTTCAACTTTAAAGGCTTCAAATATAGGAATGCACTAGTCTCGCATTAAAATAAGTTAATAAAAATTGAACAAAATCCAGATTTAATTTAAAATAATAAAGTATTTTTGTACTCTACATTCTTGCTATGTGAACAATAGGACGATCGGTAACCTTCATTCAATAACTGTGTTTTGAATAACGTTTGTAGCCTTTGCCGGTCGAGAAGTACGAGTAATCGTACGGGTAAGACGTCCTTTCGGTTCGGTTTCGAATACGACAGTTTGACGTTCGATTCGGTTATTGTGAATAAAAATTAAAAGAAATCGTACGATATCTAATCGAATCGATTGACAACAGAGTTATCGTAAGGTTCTGAATCGACATGCTGGTCATTGTAATCCGTTGAAACTTTACATTTACACTTTATAACTTTTTAAAGAAGAGGGTACAAATATATGTACATACTAATTATGTGGTTAACATTTCAGGAGCTCAACAAGCGACAATTGCAGCTGGAGCAAGCGCACACGATGTTACTAAGACACCACGAAAAGACGCAAGAGCTTGAGTACCGACAGCAGAAAGGCGTGCACGCACTTAGGTATTATTTTGTTTTTAATTGTTTGAATAAGTGTAACGCCAGACTAGTTTGGGTTATACTTTAACACTATAGATTCCTTAGAGTCGAAACACAAAACTGCAGAAATCTAAAAGCTCGCTCGGCGCATTGCAAGAATTTGCGAATTGCTCTGCATCGCGCATTCCTGCCACGTGGGCATTTTCAAGGAGAGAGTGAATTAGACATTGTGTAGGTGTCTATGCTCTAACTTTCCGATAGGTAACATATGATCAAATGGGCATTTGTTATTTAACAAAAATGTAAATTAACTTGTTTCTTTACATCTAAAGTGTATTAAACTGTCATTTGAAAATATAAAATACTTTATATCAAAATATTATGGCCAACAACTAACAAACGCCGCCATTTTCCTTTAGAGCTTTACTGTATTCTACTAGCGTCGTCTCAAATTAAATAAGTTTAAGAAACAACTAACGCGATGTGGTAATTGCAGAGAAGAGCAGTTAGCTCAGCAGCACGCAACGGAGCTTGCCAACCAACGCGAGTACATGCAGCGGGCGGAACATGAGCTGCGCAAAAAGCACGCGCTGCAACTCAAGCAGCAGCCCAAGAGCCTCAAGGTATACCAGTATATAGCTTACACTCTACACGTAACGGTGTATAAAACTGGATAAGGCCCGTCTGCATGATCTAGTTTTACTGTGATTGAACTTTCCGATTTTGTGCTTTTGCAGTATGGTTAAATGCACGGAAGAATAAAAACAATGGAAGTGCCTTATATTTCGATTATATTATATTTATGCACACATTCTTAATTTGAAACATTACAAAAACTTGATATTGATTGGTCGTAGTTTCAAATTTAAAACAATGACAAATTCTGGATTGTTAATATAATTTAAACTTTACCCTGTTGGCATATCGTTGAAAGTTCAATATCATCAATACCTATTATTGCAAGTTACGACGTATTGATATTATATTGAAATTTCAATCAATGTGCTGCCGTCTAGCGCTTAATTGCTGAACTACGAATTGAGTTATTAATTTAGTCCTCCAAAAAAGAAGCGATAAGTATAAGTATAAGCCTTACTTTCGCTTCTTGTAACATAAAAATTATTTCGATAAACAGGAAATTGAAAATTTATTAAAATAAGACGGCTATCATTTTTGCACTCCAAAACAGCACAATAATACATTTTTCTAGCGTTTTAGAGCATTTGCGCGAAAGAATGACACAACCATACCATACAAATCGAAAATGGCGGATTGAGCTCACATAGATCTCGATAGTTGGCGCGCATCAGACGCTAACTAACCATTTCTACTGTATTTATTGTTCTGTGGTTAAATGCACGCGTCTTACAGTTTATCCGCGACCGTATACACCACACTAAACTTATTCTTAGTGCTAGGTCACGTAACTTGACTACAATCTCTATTATCAGTGCCCATGTCATTTGCAGTATGTGTCATGTGTGCCAGACAAACATACCAAATATCTGGTCTCAAAGTAGATAATTCCCTGTACTATGAATACCAGAGCAACGGAATTCGGCCAGAATCAGTTTAGAAATGTGCATTTCCCACATCGGTTTTACCTCCAATCGAACCTGGGATCTCTACAGCTAGCACCCCACTGTACGAACCATTCGACCACTGAAAAATATAAAGATTATGAGGTAATTATGTGTTTTTGTGAACAGCAAAAGGAAATGCAGATCCGGAAGCAGTTCCGAGAGACGTGCAAAATCCAAACGCGTCAGTACAAGGCACTCAAAGCGCATATACTTGCCACCACAGCAAAGGTACGTACGCATTCTTGTTTACTTACACGTTTTACGTATTCATTCAAGAGAAAACTTCAAAAAACTATGCAACTGTATTTTGACTTTTATAAGTGAAAAAAATTTTTTTGACTTCATTTTTTAACTTGGTAGGAGCAACAAAAGGAAGTGATAAAAACGCTAAAGGATGAGAAGCGGCGCAAGCTGGTGCTACTGGGCGAGCAGTACGACCAGAGCATCACTGAAATGCTGCAGAAGCAGACAGTACGCCTTGATGAAAGCCAAATGGTAAACAACACACGATCATTTGTTTATAATATTAGATGTAAAATGACAGAAGATATAATGAGGAAACCTGCACTTCAAGGATCGAATAGGATGTCTCCGACTCCTGATAACCTCATACTTCCATAGACGAGTTGGTACTTATTTTGGTAGCAGTAGAGCTCTTTGTGAGAGTTCGTCCAGGGAAGTACTGTCACCATACCTATATCTGCCGCCAAGCAGTAATGTGAACATTACTGTGTTCCGGTTTTGAAGGGAAAGGGTGCTAGTGAAATTCCCGGCACATGGGACTTATCAACTTATATCTCAGGGTGACAGGCGCAGTGGCAGCGTCCATAAGATCTTTGTGATTTAAATCTCTGAATGGTACTGCATCTGGATGGACGGAGATGTAGCTTACCATCAGGCGCACGATAGTTCGTCCCGTCACTTGATATTATTAAAAAAATCAGCTTTATAATTAAGCTTCTCAAAAAAACCATTTAATACATATTACTATAATAAAAAGTGAAAATTTGTTCATTCTCACAGATGGAGTGCCAGCAACTGAAGATGCAACTGGAGCACGAGTTAGATATGCTGACGGCGTACCAGAGCAAGAGCAAAATGCAGGCTGAGGCACAGCGCAACCGCGAGCGCCGTGAACTCGAAGACCGCGTGGCTGTCAGGAGGGCGTTGCTCGAACAAAAGGTACCTGATTTATCTAGAAAAGTTAACACTTGGGAGGAAGAAATCCAAGTCACTCAGATATTGCACCAGACTGCTCTACCTTGTCAAACCAAAACACTGCAAGTCCCAGTACAGTGTTCAGTAATTTCCTTACATCAAGAATCTGCCTGTTGTTATCATGCAAAACCAATTTATTAGTTTCCAAAAGATGTAGCTTATTTTGCAAAGTACAATTTATGGTAGCTAAATAGAATTCTTTAATATCTTATGTCCAAAGTAAGTTAAATGTATATTTTTTCGTTATTAACCCAAAAATTACACAATACCGAAAAATTATTGTACCAGCCTTTTCTCAAAATACCGTTGTTTGATATTACAGTGTATTGCCTGGAGTACTGATGGTTTGATACGGTAGTCCAGTGCACATAGGTTGGCAATATATAAAACGTTGTGTCGTTGCAGATGGACACGGAGTGCGGACAGTTCGTGGCGGAGCGCGCTGAACGCACGCGTATGCTGCACGAGAGGCACGAGCGCGAGCTCGACCGCTTCGACAGCGAGAGCACGCGTCTCGGTTTCAGGTAAATTACAATAAACCCATTGAACTAAAGTGTGTTCTATGAACGTTGAACTGAACTGCAATTAAGGTCGGGGGACACAGACGCGGTACAGCTGAAAAAGCAGTCCGGGGCTAACCAGAGTTTGCAGCGGGAAAGCGGCGCGAAGGCGGTCGGCGTGATACCAAAAGGAGCCACGTTTCATTCTCTACACAGATTTTCATTAGCAACAAAAATTTCTTTTATCAAATTCATATCGGACCTTAATAAAAACCTCAAGAGTTGTAAAAAAATACAACATGCAATCCCGGCAAAGCCCCGCTCCGGGGACCGCGGTTACATAGAACTCAATGGTATATACCTTGGCGTCCGCACTCGCCCCGCGTTCACTCCAGACTCGGCCTGCGCCTGTTTGTCATAGCTTTGTATTGCCTCTATGTGGCCAAAGCATTACACACATTAGAAGTTAATGTAAGCCAAAAATTCCCAAACTTTGTCCTGTAGACCACGTGCCAATTTTTTTCTGTTTTGCGTTCTTTCTAATACGGATTTTTTTTACAAATTCATCAAAGTTTTTGACAGCTGACAAGTGTCACTTAATAAGTTCCATAGAAAGTGACAAACTTTATGAAAACACGTGTTAAGTTTATACAGTTATTTAAGTGAATATTTTAATTGTGAAAATATGTTTACTTCATAGGTTAATTATAATATGTCTATTATATGATAGTATTATATATATACTTTGGTACGATCTGGTATATTTCCATAGATTACTCCATTTATTGAAAGAAAAAAATTTAATCTCGTCCTGCCTAAATGAGCTCCACTATCATGGACCCTAATTATATTCTCATGCACCTGCTTTTTTTTTCGCTTTTTCTTCTGGGCGTCAATATAGACAGATATAAGGCACCATTTTGGGAACCATTGGTGAAAGCACAAAAGAATAATGTTGATATGAATACACACGTACATCTTGCCTTGAGGCAGATATGGAGACAGTGCCGTAATACACGTGATGCTGTATAAACCATGTATTGAATTCATAACTTAAATGTTTGTTTTCTAGCGCAATGGCGATCGCAGAGGGTGGTCGAGAAGGCTTTGGTGACGAAGAGCAATCTCTCTCCGGGTCAATGCTATCCCTCGCGCACTCTAACTCGTCCGCTTCGTTCCCCGCCGGTAGCCTTTAATGCCGACCACACCACACCCTCCCCTCCCCGTCTTGTGCCTACACCAGCACCAGTAAGTAATGCTGTTGCCATGAGTTCATCATTATCCTTGTATGCTTTGATTAGACGTGAAGTCTTGAACAGACATAAGGTACCATATTCATTAATTGTTGATGGGTGACAATAGGATCTGTTTGGATGTGAAGTGTGGTATGCATTTTGTTTTAGTATTAATACCTAAATAAAGTCATGCAACACTTCAGATATGCTATGTGGCTATTTCCACCTTTTGATGGATATTATACGGGCTTCTTAAATTGGGATCACTGCCCAATATAATTGAAGGTACAAGGAGACATTTTTATAAATACAATTATAAAACAACGTGGAAGTAAAAGAAACGTTTAGTCTCCAATGTATAAAAATAATTGTTAAGTATTGCAAGCTTTGCTGTGATAATTGACTGCTTGCTTGTAAAAATTTATTAAAATATTATAAAACTATTGTATGGGGAAATAAATGTATTTATTAAAACTTAATTCTACCTCACTAGAAAAGGCTCACAAGGGTTGGCTTTTATTGAATGGAAGTCAATAAATATACAGTAATATTGTCATATTGCTGTTGATATTACAACTCTGTTGCTTTTAGTATTTGTATTAAAATACTCGATAGTAATAAATTGCTGTACCTTTATAATATAGTATCTTGCACGATCGCACTAAACAAAAAATAATCACGATCTTAATTGGTATTATAGATCGCGTAAAACCAGTGGGACACCTCCATGTCACATTTTCTTTTGGATCGACATGTACTTTTTTACATCGCTTCTCTTGGCAACAGCATTTAATCCGTAACCTTATGAATAAATACAGAGACTGTACCGCCCTCCCTCGGAATGTTATAGGCATTGGAAAATTCTTGAGAGTGTTGTAACGTAGCGGAACGTTGGCATTGCCAACTTAGATTTTAATTTTGTGTGTGAAAAGTTTTGTTCTGATATGCTTTGCGAATTTTTCGCTTTTCGTACAAATCATTGGAAGTTTTGTCCAAGTTTGTATGGGCAGTCAAAATAAATGTAAATCTATTCAAAACTTATAAGAACAAAAGGTTTTTGTGTTTATTTAGTCTCTCAAGCTTAATTGAATTTAGTTCCTGCTATTGATCAAATTTTCCGAAAATTCGATTAGGCAATGGAATTTTGAATTTATCGGAACAAAACTAAATGTATATGTGATCAAAATTTCATGACAGAACTTCATCTGACGTGTCTTTCATTTACTTGGAAAATGAGAGAGAAAGAGATAAGTTTCTTTTTCATGATATTTTTGTTGACGTTTTAGTATTGATGTAACGTCTTCCAAATGCGATGCAGTATTGGTAGCGGACTCGGGAGGGCATTTCCTATACACTATTAAGTTTAATGCACTCCATATTTAATTATTCTAATGCCACGCGGCAGAGTGTTTGGGGTCACACCGTTTATATGTACCGGTCATTGTATGAGACCATTGGTGGCATCTTGTATTTATTTGTACATAGTTTTGTGAATTGATTATTTATTAATTTAATAATTTTTTTTTTAATTCTCTTTGTAACTTAAATATTCATTTAACATTAACGCTGGCAAATTACATTTGTACTCTCGCCATGTTGCGGATTTTTTAAGAAATATTTTATTTTGCTGACAACGGGGAGATTTTAGTCAACAGTCAACACTAGCGCCAACATTTCAGGGTTCAAAACTAACTGACAGCCTCATTGAACTTTAATATTCTATTGTTTTCGAAAATTTAGCTCAACATCATTTAGACTATTGACTCATAATTATTTTAATGCAAATTGTATACAAGAAGACGAAAAGAGGATCATAAAATCTGGTGCCTGAACGCAAGTTATTCCCACACCACTTACACTTTGTCGCGCGTTAGCCTTTCCTAAGGGTTGTTTGAGACTGCGTGCCGTATGTTGTTTAAATGCAGCGATGTGCAAATGATACGCTTTCTTATTAGAGGTTTTAACTCAATCGCTCGTCTCCGTTGTTTATGAGGAGGCTTTACACGAACATATTTATCGCCCAAATGGGTTATAGATGTATATTGAAACGTGATAGGCACAAAACTGTCTCTTTCCCTCATTCTGTTAGCTTATGTACCTCTGTTGATTAGGGTTGGACTTGGCAATACGCATAAGCATCGCTTGTCAAAGTTGTCTTTTATTGGAATTTTGTCAGCCCGCCTCGGCTTGAAGCATACTGACGACTCTCCATATAAAACACACGTTTATTACCAAAGTGATGCTGCCATATGAGAATCAATCTTAATTACCGAATTACCTTTTCTATCACAAACAATAACTGTTTAAAAAAATTCTAAAGCTTAAAAGCACTTGTAAAATATTCATTTTTATTTATATTACGATCTCTTAGACTTAAGGAACTATTCCGACTACAATATTTAGTAATAAAAAAATATATAAGATCTAAGCATATTAGGCCGTCCCATCTAAAATTCATTACACGTAATTACATAAACAATGGAGTCGAGTGAATAGTGCATGATTGGAACTAGCATCTTGATCTATACTTGTATAATATGTAGTCTACGATAAGTTTCTATAGTGGTTCTAGCTCATTTTTCCTCTTGGTAACTCTATTGGAAGCTGTTCAAGACGGAAACTACCATTAACAGGTGAAATGATATTTTAAGGTAAACTTTGTAGTGTAACCAAGGAATGTTGATCCTCAAAGTGTACGCTTAATCTTGATGAAGGCATTACTTAGAGGGAGTAGACGCGACGCCCCGCCCCGCACTCGTCAGTTATTGTTTTACATTAGATAGTCAAAATTCTAATATTCATATCATTAGGTTTTACTTTAGGGGCAATTTTTTCAAGTATAATAAGTTTATTTCGTAGCGCGGATTGATCGCATTTGTTCATTGGCATACTATTGAGTTTATGGAAATGTTTAAATGGTCTCGTACCAATGCAACACGTATGCTTACGTTAGATGACTTTTAGATTTTAAATGTATAACATGCTTTACTAAATGATAACAAAAATGCAGGTGCTGTGTATGGATATCGTATAACCAACTGCCAATTATGTTTTGTAAATATTATAAAGTATATATAATTTATTAGCGAGCACACGATTTGCCTTAATCCGTGTAGCGGCGCGGGGCTCGGCGCTTGTACATAAAGAACAATAATATATAATTATTATACATAGTTTGTTACTTTTGTAAGGTGCGAGTGCGATATTTTGTGTACATTGGAAGTGAAGCGAGGGTCGGCTCCGTCTCGCGCGGCGGCGCGACCCTCTGTTACGTGCTATTTTCTTTATTTAGTGTCCTAATACACTATTGTATTGTCTACTAAGCTTACCAGTCATGTATGTATAGACGATTACATAATTATTTAATTTAACGCCGATTTTAGTCATAAATATCCAAATTTAGTTAATGCTATTTTTAAATTTAATTTTTATTTTATTATTATTCTCTTCCTATATCACATTGTTTGTAAGCATCACACGATGTGATCGTTTTGTATTATTTGAGTCCGTTAGCGGTCTTTAGGGTTTCTACTTCAACCTTTCAGCGAAAATGGAAGTTTTAATCTTATAAGGCAATGTTCTAAATTATAGCTGTTTTTAAATAGTCGAATCACAGTAACACTTAAGAAAATATATAATATTTAGCATCCTTAAACACGTTCTTTATAGACATCTAAATCTCTGGGCAAGGCATAGACAACTAAAACAATTTGAACACTGCGTGATGCTGTGATTCGGTGTGTAACTAAAATAAAGTATTGTAGCCTCCCCTTATCCTCTTACTGACCAAGTAAAGACAATAATCTCTAGACAGCCTGACTCGCCGCGTCATCTTCCTGTACATAATGTTTAGGCCAGTAATGTGGAGCTAACTGAAAGTTGCATAAAGTTGAGCATGACTTTGGTAATCATTTTATTTTAAGAATGAGTTCAAAGTATTTATCCTCATGAGGTATATATATTACACAAACAGTAGCCCTCAAGTGATCTTAAGCGGAAAGTAAAATTTTAACCTGGTCACTTTCACATGTTCACATCATTATTTATTGTGTCATTTATCAACAGTAAAGGAGTCACCACATTATATAGTGAATCGCATTAAGCCGGTCAGAAATCTTTATGTCCATGTAATAAGAGCGAAAAAGACATTGTGCGTTTCGCGTCGAGCGGAAGCGAAAAACGCAACGTCTTTTTCGCTCTCATCGCTCATGGTCATAAAGGTTTTTCTGACTGGCTAAAGCCCATTCTCGTAGTAGCTAAATCGAAAAATTAACCTCAAGTTTATGCAATTTCATAGTTTTAATCAAACTTCACTTTTCCAATGTCCAGTGGTGGTTTTACATATTTGGCATTGTCATTCATAATCAACGCCATATTAGAATTCTGGAAAATGTCTCTCTGGTGAAACTTTAAATAAGATCTACTAGTTTATAGAAATTTAAAGACTTCACTTTTGCACTGCTAATTTAAAGAAATCTGGACTGCCACTGGTTTCTATACTTTGTAAAAAAGACAGAATGTAAGCACTAAGGAATTGAACTGTAAGCTGTAACTTCGCTTGCGTGCAATAGATTCTGTATTAATGTTTGTCGCGTAGTGTTACGCTCGCTGATAATTCTCTGGCTCAAACGCTGTTCTAGGGTTTCTTATTTATCATCACATGTAGTAGAAGTTTAATACTGTTACAGTGTGTAGGATGGTCCCTTGCTAACTAATAACACTCTGCTAAGAATGGTCAATAGAAAAGTTGTAAGCGACTTGAGTGGAAAATGTTAAAATTTTGACATTTAATTTTGGAGACTCGTGTCCAAACATCAGTGTTTTCTACTAAAATGTGAATACACAATAGTACGATGAATTGTAGGCTCAAGTCCAATGTATGACGTGTAAAACTATTGTACCTTAATGCAATTCGCTCAAGCATTACTTTGCATTGTCTTTTTTACAAGGTATCTCTTAGTTTGCTCATACATTAGTATTTTAGGAGAAAACACTAACTCGTAAACACGAATGTGCGAAAACAGCACCATTATAAACCAACCGATTTGTAGTTGATATTCCTCATTAATTTATCAACCACAAGCAACTCTCAGTATGAGCAAAAAACATTACGAGCTGACGAGTTATGATAGCCATTTGGAGCATCAGTCGAGGGACCGAGCATATAGATAGTGCGCGTCTCTTTCCTCCCACCATTTAGCTGTTCTAGAGTTAGTTCATCTTAACACCTCTACCGGCAAGTTATAACGATATAGAAGTACCAAACTCGTAGTTAGCGATCACGTATTATTATATGTACATTGGAACTAAATAATTTTTATATTTTACCATTGTATAGTCGTTTATCACCGATAGGTAGTTAGCAATATTTTGACAGAGGTATGACAAGGTATGCGCGGCGCTTTATTTAGTTTGGGATTGTTTGCGGCGCTAGCGCATTACCGTTGTTGTTTTCTTTTTATTTTTTGTTATATATTTAAATAACACAATCGACTTGTAGTTTTAATAATTATTATCATTAATTATTATATTGTAATATAATCTTATTAATGAAAAAATCAAACTGAAAATAAATAGAAAGGAAATAAATGTTTGTGTATTTCTCGACATGTGTCCCCCAAAAATATGATTAAAACAAGTGTTAAACTGCTTAAAAAAACTACTTTATTGTAAAATTCATAAAAGTAAAAAATATCGAGCAGAAAAGAAACAAGATAAAAAATTTTCTTGAAAAGACCTTATGCACTAGATATTTGATTTTATAATACATACTTTTTCCTTAACATTAGTATAAGATTTCATTTTAAATGCTATAAAAAATGTAAAGAATCAGTTTATGCATAACAAAACAACCGCATACTTTATTATTGTTTTCCAGTACTTTAAATTTAATGCAAAGTAGAATACACAAGATGCGGGATAAAATTGTGCTTTTATAACGAATTTAAGCTATTGCTACAATTCTCTAAGCTATATGACTTCATTTTGAATTCTTGCCATTAAATCGTACATAATTGAACCTTAATTGATACACTCGGAAGAACCAAATTATTTCCAAGAGCGCCTTCAAATTGGACGCTTATAGAAGCTATATAATAAAATTTTATACAATATCTGTAAGCGCGGTCGCAGCACCACTCTCGTGACACGCGCTCGCCACGTTTGCAGTAGCAAGTAGAAGTGCCCCCGCCCACTGAGCCACTAGTGACAGCTACTAAACGTGACAGCGGGGAAAAGCCGGCGACTGGCCGAGTGTGCATGGCAGGCGAACGACACACCCAACCAGCGAGCGCGGGCTACTTGTGGCAACTCGAACGCTCAGTTTGAGCCGATGTGATACCGCATAAAATGTATGAAAAATATCGTCGGTAACTTGTGGTCGCGTTTGATGACCGCCACTAGTGGCCCAATGAGTGGGCGCCCTAAGAGCGGTTTCAAACGGCGACTTTTAACTTTTAGTTCGTCAAACGCGCGATTGCCCTACACTTGCTATTTACAAACGATTGCATCGGTGCAAACGCGCGACTGCATCGATACAGTTGCTTATGTTGAATAATTATGTACGTAAAGTCTGTATAGCTTTATGCACAATATTTTGTTTTGTTAATTGTGTAGTTACTTAATTTAAAACGTTCGCGTCTGAATCGCATTTGCATCGCTGCTTAAAGTCGCGCGCGTGTGTAACCGCTCTTATGACGTAACGTGCGACTACCGCGCCACTGCAGCGCTTCCGTAAGAGTTTAATTTGAAAGCGCCCAGACGCGCGCCCGTTTATTTAACATGAAACAATTGCATTGATCAATCTGTTTCATTACGCTACAGTTCAAATTACCATCATGATCTTCGTATCTTGTCAATTTTAAATTGGCAAGCATTGTGAATTCATTATCAAGTTGAATCGCGTGTATTTCGAAAACTAAAAAGTGATCTAGATTGCTCAACGCTATCGTTTTATCATAGTCTCAAAGTCGTTTCTTTTCATATCATTTTATAATTTCCACAAAAATAGATATCTTTTCCATACTAGATCGCATAAGAATTTTTGAAAGTAAATAAAACATTAACTCTGCGACGTAGGCACTGGGAATAATATTATGACTAGTCTAGGTGCCTATTCATTGACACACATGTTGACCAGCAAAGAACCACAAGAAAAGTATAGTTAGAATGAATTTGAAAATATAAACAATGCTCTTCACATCCAGAGATCTATTTTACCAACTACTCAAAATTGAGATATTTTTTTTTTATCTAAAGTGCATTTCTTTTTATTTCCCATTTCACTTTTCATTCACGACTAGACACTACCCAGAACACTCAGATCAGAAACAATTTAATTGTGAAATGATAATATACATACATTTACCGACAATACAAGATTGTCTAGACTGGGATTTGTCCTCCGAGTCGTCACGAAAGAGTATTTTATATGGAAATCTTTTATAAATATGCAGAACTATACCTTTCTCAATCTATTCGCTATCTTTCACTTTATTAGTCGTCGACATGTTGGGTAGGTTTAGGGCCTATTTAGGAGATTTGTTTTCCCATTTCCTCGTTTTAATCTTCCTTCACGCAAGGTCTGTTCTTCCTATGCGATCTCGTAAAGCAATCAACATAAGCGTGGGCAGTTCTACTGAGTGGGCGAGAACTCAGTAGGCTCGAGGATACGGCAGTGCATTTCTCTGATGAGTGGTACGGTGTACGCGACGCATTCGTCCCAGCCGGGGTTGCGCCATGTGCTCTCGCGAGTTTCGCGACGCGCTTGGAGGTCTTTGTAACCTGGACAATACATATATAATGTTAACTTTCTATTGTAAGTAGCCATGAGTACAATAATCATACTTGTTAAAGAAAGTTGTGGAAGGAAAAACCACCTAGCACAACTTTAATGGGTGTAGATGAATGAGACAGTAATTAACATTTCAATATTAACAATTGTAGTACATTGAATTAAAAAACTGACCGAAACGGAGACACTGGTAATATATTGGAATAGATTTGCATTTTTAAATGTGAGAAATAAACCACCAGCCAATTTCATTGTATCAATCGACCTTGAATCTATATATGTGTATTGCATGATATGAAATAAAGATTTTTCTTTAAAGCAGTCATTTTACAGAGTTACTTTCTAAAAATAAATGGTGATAAGCAAAGACCACAACCAGGCAGAGTATATTTATCTTAACTTGAAGTTATAGACATAGAATGGTTACTTCCCGCCACAATTATTAAAAATAAATGGCAATACATCAACACAAAACAGTTGTATTATTACTTACAAAACTTTTCTTATAAATACACCACTGTAGTAATTGCTAGTTACTCATCAAAAATATAGAAGAAAACAAAATACAATAATCCAGGATTTCAGAGAGAGGTATTGTCCACTCTATGCGTTTTTTTCCTTGAAGTTTAGGTAAATATATTTCACCCAAACTATTCCTGATTCAGAAGTTCACAAGGCATCATTTATAAGGCTATAACTTACACCAGATGTGATGTACGTTGTAAAGACGTCCGATCTGCGAGAAAAAGCCAGCGAAGGCCTCGTTCTGCGACCTACGGAATTGCAGTCCGCGCGCCCAGTTGTTACCCCACTCGATCATTGTGCCCGGCTTAAGGCTGCAGCAAACATGTTCTTAAATTGCATAAGTATGTATGATCTAAACAACATATTACAACTAGTAAGTTGTACTATGCCAATCTGTGGGGGATAATTTCATATAACATCAAAACAATAAGCGCCTTGGGTCTGTATTCAATATTCCTTTATTTTTTTCCATCCTGGAAGTTCAATACGGGACATAAAATGACACTAATATAAATAAAAAATATTTGAAATATGAATGTACAATTTTGGTCATTAACAACACTGATGGCCATTTCTCTCTCTTCCAAATTATTTCATGAGCACTTTTTAAATTTAACAAAAATTTTATTATGTGATTATTATTATTTAATGATTTTGTTGTGTATGGGTTAATTCATGCCTGAAATAGATGTCTATTATTATTATACTTCAAATTTTCATTGCCTTTTATCTGTACAGTGTGCAAGAGACATTTTCAAAGGAGCTCATCATGTTAACATAGGTATGCAAGACAATATAATTTGGAATGAATGTATGCAGGATCACAATGACAAATAATTTGTGTCATTTATATAGCAATTTCCCTTTGTTCCTTACCCAGTTTGTAGCAGTTAAACCTTACCTATAAGAACGAATTTCGTATATATTACTCTCAGGGCGCGGCTCGGCATTGGGCCAAAAGCTGAATTTTAGCAAGTACTGCAAATGCCTAGATCGTACGAAGTTGCCGCGCTCCTTCTCCAGTGCACGATATTCCTAAAAAAATACTATAATTTAAATAAAAAACGAATAATTATTCGTACTTCAATTATGGGAAAGAAATAAAAGAGACAACCTTTTGTAATTAGCACTTTCTTTAACTAGTAGGGTGCCAAACGACTGATTGCAATCGAATTGAGACCTGATTGTATGCAATCGTCGCCACGTAATCTAGATGCCCACTATCTACCAAAATCGATGTCGACAATAAACCACACACTCCGGCGCGCGGCGTTATCTTAAGCAAAGCAAAAACGTACTGCGTGCGTGTAATAAATATTAGCTTTACATCTAAACTATTAACATTTAATTGATTAGTTAAGTTTGGTTACAATGTTTTGATTCCAACTTGTTTTCAAGAAAAAACATCCAACAATTGTAAACTATGAAAGTAAGCTTAGATGAGCAATAACAGTACAGTTTAAGATATTTATTATTTATTTAACTATTTTATAACGTTTTAAACTATAAAGTATCCGGTCAATAATAGACTATGTGGCGACTAAACAAGTCTTCAGCCCACTGCATTTGACTGCCTACAGTTGAAGTCACAACTGCACGCAGTGGAACATATCGAATGCCCGCATAACCTTTCTGATGGTAGCTTTAAGAAACATGTAAGGAAACCAGCTTGCCTATGTACTCTGGTTTACAAACATCTTTCTTCAAGATATTTAATGTCCTCAACTGTTAATAATCCCTATTTTTCTCATCTTAAAGCATAGTTAGGCTTTTACCTCACTTTCCCTAAACAGGATCTTAGCTTTGTCAATCTTCTCGAACCCGCCGATATAACGCCACAGGTGTAGAGCCTGATCCATATCTCCCACAGATACTGTCCATGATCCCACCAGTTCACAGCCTAACTCGGATTTCTTTGAATGCACAAATTCTACTGATGTTTTGCTGCAATGTAGAACAAGGTATCATATTAATTCAAATAAAGTATGTTTAGAGTATGTATATTTGTTTACTACTGACATTGGCAATAAATTGTTAAGCTAAATGACTGTAGGCAGGATCAAAAAAAAAAGTAAACAAAAATGTACTTAACTATTATTGTTACAAAGATCACACAAACACAAAAAAAAATATCTAGACCCTACTGTTCCAGTGGAGTTGATTTTTTCTATGTGTTAATTCAATTATTGTATCAATAATAATAACAAACTAGTGAAATGTTTTTGTAAAAAATTAAAATTAATATCATGGTAGTAAAAACATCATTTAATAATAATTTAATATACTTTTTTTTTAATTAAATTTTTATTGAATTGTTATTCAATTATTTTTTGTGAAATTACTCCACTAGTTTGTTATAATTATTAATACAAAGATCGAACACTCAGAAAAAATTCCTTCGATCCGGTCGGATTCGAACCGACGTCTTCTTGCATACCGTGCCAGACGCTATACCAACTAAGCAACGGAACGAACCAACGGACCTCACGAATTTTTCTATGTGTTTGCGTCGTGTCTTTGTACTTGGTCTTTCAACGACTTTTTTGTCGTAGCGCCATCTATGAGAAATCTATGACAGATTTATCACCCAGTTAGTACCTTTACAGCCACCAGTCCTGGCGAGAGATGTCGCTATTCACTCTATTAATTAAATTTTTATTGAATTGATAGTCAATTATTTTTTGTGAAATTACTCCACTAGTTTTTTATAATTATTAATACAAAGATCGAACACTCAGAAAAAACACTCAGAAAAAATTCCTTCGATCCGGTCCGATTCGAACCGACGTCTTCTTGCATACCGTGTCAGACGCTGTACCAACTGAGCAACGGAACGAACCAACAGACCTCACGAATTTTTCTGTGTTTGTGTCATGTCATTGTACTTGGTCTTTCAACGACTTTTTAGTCGTAGCGCCATCTATGAGAAATCTATGACAGATTTATCACCCAGTTAGTACCTTTACAGCCACCAGTCCTGGCGAGAGATGTCGCTATTCACTCTATTAATTAAATTTCTATTGAATTGATATGCAATTATTTTTTGTGTTGTGTGCTTAGTTGGTATAGCGTCTGGCACGGTATGCAAGAAGACGTCGGTTCGAATCCGACCGGATCGAAGGAATTTTTTCTGAGTGTTTTTTCTGAGTGTTCGATCTTTGTATTAATAATTATAACAAACTACGGGAGTAATTTCACAAAAAATAATTGAATATCAATTCAATAAAAATTTAACTAATAGAATGAATAGCGACATCTCTCGCCAGGACTGGTGGCTGTAAAGGTACTAACTGGGTGATAAATCTGTCATAGATTTCTGATAGATGGCGCTACGACTAAAAAGTCGTTGAAAGACCAAGTACAAAGACACGACGCAAACACATAGAAAAATTCGTGAGGTCCATTGGTTCGTTCCGTTGCTTAGTTGGTATAGCGTCTGGCACAGTATGCAAGAAGACGTCGGTTCGTATCCGACCGGATTGAAGGAATTTTTTCTGAGTGTTCAATCTTTGTATTAATAATTATATATTTTTTTATTATTTTTATCCTTGACTGCTAATAGTGGTGACCTTTGCACTTGCATTATTATCATTTCTTTTTTTTTAACAAATTGTATTCTACAAGTTACTAAGTTTAATTAAATCTTATGACAGTCTTTTCTATAGGTAATAATTTTTAACAGAATTTGTTTCCTATTACAACACCAAAAATTAATTAATCCACTACTAAAGTTATAAATATTTTATTTCAAATTTATTTTTATAAAACTCCAAAATTCAGATTGTCACTATTTATATGTGATTTAGTTTCATTTTAAGGGGTCAAGGTCCTCTGATAACGAAGTGGTAAGTAAACATTTCCCCGCACGCTCTACGCCTATCGATGTCCCCATACTTTAAAGCCAGTTGCATAACACCCAATAACAACTATTGTCAGCCACCAACATGAAACACCTTTTACATACTATACATAATCCACTTTACATACTAGTTTTGTAGGTATTTGTCGACGGAGTCCGGCCTTATATTGTGGGTGTGAAGAGCGTATATAATCTCCTTGTCACTCAGCATGCGACTGTGGGACTCCTTTGTAGGCTCGATCTTTCGCACCAAAAGCTTCGATAACCACCCATCTTCTTTACTGTTCAAGCTAGCACTCGTTGAGATCAACCTACGAAAATAACTTTTACTTTACCATGTTCCAAAATTAAACCCGGACACAGCAAAACAACTGGTGGAAAACATACCTTGCGTTTTTCGGTATCGCAGCACCCAAACATAGAACTCTGTTTAGAGAACTCATGTCGGTTGATTGTAGTAATCGTTTATGATCTAATAAAGAAACACCAGATTGTAACTCAGATACTTGTTATCAATTAAATCGACAAAAACACTTGAAGGTTATCTAATAATTTCAGGCGTACGGCGCCATCTGTTGTTGATTGATCGCAAATCAAGGAACCGGAAACACTCGTACGTAAAATTGAGCGTGTATTGAATTGAAATGAAAGAAATATTATCACGTTTGGAGAAATCTCATTCTTCATACTAGTGTAATATTAGAAAGTTATTTGATGCTGATAGATTTCATGAAAATTAATTTCAATAAAAATAAAATAAATTATTTTAGAAAATTTGAAACCTATACAACTTCTGAGTAAATGCTTATAACGAAATGAAGATACGATAAACAACCTAACAGCTGATTAGTAAGAATGACAATGTTGTGTTCAAACTATTTCAACTGTGCTGCTCTGCAATAAAGTTCAAAATTATATTTCTTTTTATAACTTCAAAAGCTAACTTTTGGGAAATTGTATGTTTTGAGCGGTTTCTAATAAACTAGATGGCGTTTATAACAAGAAAAAACTGTCACGAAATCTTATTAATAGTTAGTTGTTATTTCTAATGAAAACAAAATTATTATTTCATTGCGAGTTGTTCAGTTAGCGTCTTTGCCTCATTTTCTTATATTTGTTTTTAATAAATTTTCACCTATTTATTAGGGTAGAGAGAGGTTCTACCATACAGTCTATTGTAAACTTAGAACATTTAAATTTTCAATGACATTGACATTTTGGTCTTGAGAAAATTTAAAAATGGAGTGACTGTATTGCGCTTTTTAAAAACGATTAATGCACAAAACAGTTATTAAAGAGAAGTAAAATCTCGTATCTTTGTATAGCGCTATATCTGTTTGTATTTACACTTTAATCAGAAATCACACTTCATGAGCACGTAAACGGGGATTGGATTGTCACTTTTTCCAATTATTTACTTCTTACTGATATTTCTTTTTTATTTTAATAAAAAGTGCTGAAGGCTTTAACGGGGATTAGCAGCAACAAAACCTCGTCATGGGTGAGTAATTACGATCACAACTAGGACTGTATTTTGTGTATGAGTTTATTGTTTAGTGGGCGGTGCGTATTCTAGTTGCCTACGAGTTTCTATTGATGTTTGTGCTCACTTTGTAATTATGTCGGAATGCGCAGCATCGAGCGAGGTGTCGAAGCTCCAGCAGCACTTGGCCCTTCTGAAGGAGGAGTATGGAAAACTGCAGAGTCATTGTGCCGAGGTGGAACGGAAGTATACGCTGGCCGCGGCGTCTGCCGGCGACTTGAGCGAGACCAGTTTTGTAGCGCGACTCCTCATGACGGTTGCTCAGTTATACGGTAGGGAGACCTACTCTGATATCAAGATCAAGCTGCAAAGCAAGTCTATGCCAGGACATAAGTTTGTGCTTAATGCTCGTTCTGATGATTGGAATGAAGAAGCTTTGAAAAATCTGGAGGAGTTAGGTAAGTTTAGTTTAGGTTCTGTTTACATAAAACAGTTTTTATTTAATAAAATATTATTATATTAAAATAAAATAATTTGTAAAACTTATTTTTGCCAACATGCAATTGGTCTTATATGAGACCATAAGCAGTTAATTTTCGTTATATTTTGGCATGTCAGGCATACCCTTCCAATGTTGGGTTGCCTTTATGTGAAAACTGTGCAGCTCAGCTGAATCCCAAAAGCATTTACGCTTCAATCTTCTTATCCGTGGTGGCACACGCAATGCTATAGACAATTAGTTAGTATGAGGTGCTATTCTTTTTTTTAGGATTTAGTTAGCCTAGTTATTTCCCTTGCTTTGCTTACAATAATTGTAAGCATTTCAATGTATTCATGGATCTCATATATTTTAGTGAACTGTGAAGCATTTGTAATTGACTTAAGAATACTGTTTTGGTATACTTGCAGAATTTCAATGTTTGACTGACTAGCAGTTGCCCAAAGCTCAATTTAAAAAACTAAGCAAAGAGTCTTTAGAACCCATGCAAAACCTTTCAATAACCTTTCTATTTGTCTCATCATAGCACTTAATAATTGCAAGAACTTCTCAAAAACTCTCAATTTGTCGCAACATAGCACTGAGTCTTCCACCCCTGACACCAAGGCATTATCGTGTAAACTGATGGAGGACCGATATCCACACAAAACGTGACTTGATTTTGCAAGTACATTTTGTGCCAGGCAGTGACTATATTTTAGTACGAAGGTCTACATTCTTGTGAAATAACAAACTTTCTTTACATTTATGAAAAAAAAAACTTTTAACGAGTCTATCAATATATCTATATATTTATATTTTACAATTAGACTGATTGTAATATTTTTACAAATAAGTTAAAAATACAATGGATCAAGTTGCATACTAAGTGTATAATAAGATATTGTACTGATAATGTGACTTCAATGACTGGTTTTAATTGCACCATTTGTATGGAGCTATTGTATAGGTGGAGTAACTAGCATATTAACAAAATACAAATATATCAGTTGCCTTGTTGGTATATTTTTTTATATAAATGCAAAATATTACTTATGATGATGTAGGATCCGTGAAATTTCGATTTATGTCCCTTAATTCCCATTATTAAAATCCAATTACATAATAATTACTAGTTACAAATTTTATTTATTTATTTTACATATAAAGAGATTTTAGGTTTACGAGATTGCTACTCATTGAAACTGTAATTATTACATCGGACCCTGTTCGAAAAATTTATGTATCATCATCATAGAGTGAATAAGGACAGGAAGAAGAGGAAAGGAGTGAATGGGTCTGATGCAATTTCTATGTAATTTCTGAGGATAAAAATGTGGTGTAAAATATAGTAACCACAATAATGTTTGTTAACAATTTATGCTATATTACGTTAACTATATTATTTAACAAAAATCACACTAAAAATGGCAACTGAGGGGTTTTCGCTGTAAGGCAATGCTATATCAAGATCATTATCCAATTTAGATCTGAAAGAATAGTTTTAATTCCATTATTCAGAATAATAATTGGATTATTTTTTTAATTTAATTAAGTGTTTGAATATTCATTCCTTAGGATTCCTTAGGATATTTCCTCCTCTTCATCTGTTTTGGTACATTAGGAGTTATTTTTCTTCCAATTATCTACAATAATGTATGTTACATTATTCTATCTATCTGATTTTATAACAATTCAGGATTCCCCATGTCAGAAATTCCATGAAATATGAAGTACTTGGAGAGATAATACTATCAGTATATTAGAGAATGGACAATGGCTTTCATAATACCTAGTGGATATCAACTTAGGTTCTGATAAGTTCTAATAACTGTAGTCTTTGTGTGGACTCATGAACAATATATTAATATATTCTTTTAATTTTTATGTTTTCACTCATGATGACCGAAACCCAATTCCAGTTGCTGTTTAATAAATTACATAGGTTTTTACACAAAATGTATAAAATTCAAGCAACTTCACAAATTGTATAAAATTTTCAAATAAATTAGTTTTATGAACTTGGGTTGTTAGAGTAAACATACAATAACAACATAGACGACATCACATATGTGACTCTGATGCCAAAGTAAGTAACTAAAGTATTTGTGTTATGGGAATTGTAAACAGCGACGGTTCCACGAACACCCAGACCCGAGACTATACGGGAAAGTTCATTTTTCTACATTGACCCAGCCGGAGATCGAACCCTGGGCTTCAGAGATGGCGACACCATGAAATAGGTTTACGTCATGTGTTCATCCATATTCTCCGGCTTTTAGAGTTACAGGTGAAACTTATTTGTTTAGTTAATTTATGCAATGAAGGATTGTTATAAAATTCGAACTTTTCAGATTGGACAACACTCCCTGATGATGTAGGCGCAGCCCTACTCAAATGGTTGTACACGGATGTAGTGGATTTGTCGCGAGGAGACACCTTCGCTCTGCAGCTCATGAAATCTGCAGCCTCCTTTAAGCTGCACGGTCTTGTAAACAAGTGTGAACAGGCGCTCATTACTTCTGTTGGAGTCAGGTTAGTATTGGACACATATACCAACAATCTAAAGGATATGATTAGCCATAACCATAAGAAGACAATATGAAGAAAGTAAGCAGTAGGAATAGGGGCAATCACCAATTTAGACTACAGAGGTACAGTATTAGAGTTTAAGTTGTTCTGGTCAATGTTTGCTTTTGGAACAATGTATACAGTGACAGAGAGTTCTATAAAAAAAATTAAGTCAGATTCTTAACAAGCTGTTTTTATTGCCTCTGTTGCTGAATATCATATTTACAAAATATCATGTTCACAAAACATCAATATGTGTAAAAAAATGTCTATCTATACTGATTAATGTTACATAACCTGCTTGTTTTCATGGCCTAATGCACAAATACATGAAACCCCTATTGCTTCTTATTTGAAGTCAGTTACATTTGTAACACTTGCATAATTATTAGCTAATGAACATACAAGTACTAATTATAAAACCAACTGTAGTGTTTCACAGCGTACTGTTTGGATAAAATAAAACAATTATTATGAATTTTATTCTGTTTACAGTGCTAATAGGAAATTGAAATAGATTTTTCTTTAATTATTTAATAATTCATAAGTTCTATTTTTAACACATACAATCTCGTGTTGAAATAACCTAAGTTGAAATGACAAAAATTTAATTCGCGTTTTCAAATCGCGCGTCTAGGTATTCATACATATTACGTATGTACATTTGTTCATATTATGTACGCGTGGTGCCATCGCATTCTGCGGAAATACTTGTTCAAATGACCGCGCTTTATCTTTCACTGCTTGCACATTTGCATTGCACAGTACTTGCCCGCACCGCGCATTGCCTCTCGTAATCTGTACGTTTCTTAAGCGCGTCGTAATCTGAACGTTCCAACACGCGTCGTAATCTGAACGTTCCAACGCGCGTCGATACGCTGCAGTGCGTCCATCTGAACCTAGTTATAGACTGCACAGTGTACCTACTATATAACCTAAAATACGTACCACAATTTGGCCTTGGATTCCTATTAAAGATAGTGTTTAGGACATAGACCACAATGCTGACCCAAAGCAGATTGGAGACCTCACACATCTTTGAAATGTTTTGTGAACAGTCACCATCTTATAGTTTAATAAAATATATTTTCCTCCATCACTAAAGTTAATGATAATTAGAACACGAAACGGACACAATTCGGAAAATATACTACATAGTAGACAAGCTTTCTTTCAACTAGGCTTACACTGCTTGTATAGGCTTATATAGTCAATTCTTCAACAATAAACCAGACTTTATGAAAATTTCTACAACAACATTAATAAAAGAGGATAGATAGAATAAAGTATTTTTAGTAAGTTTTACTACACTATAAAAGTTTATTGGTTGGTTCAAGACCGAAATAAGTTTGGGAAACATTGGTCTAGACCTGCCATCTCGTCGGGTCTTTAGACGGTTTATACGGTAGGTCGCAGATAGACTTCAAATTATACAGGGTGTCCCAAAACTACCACGACAGAGCTACACTGTAGGTAGGTGAGCTCTATACCTACCAGAAAATAAAAATAATTTGACCGTAATAAAAGTCTTTTGGTTTTCGGGATATTGGCACTTTTTTATTTTTTTGGAATCACTCCACTTTTTGTTGGGTTTTATGCTACTATTGCCAGGGTTAGCTCCAGATGGTCGTTATTTCTGTATTTCGGGTATTCTGAATAGTATTTCCAGGTATTGCAACTAATATTTTACTGAGAAATATCACAAAATATGAAAAAAGTTATTAATTTGGTATTCCTCGTACCTTTGTAAAAAGTTAAACATGAACTTTGAATAGCTAATGTGAAAAAAGAATATGAAACTGAATTTGCTAATGATCTTATAAACTGCTCCACTTAATGCAGAATCAGGAATGGTACAGCACTTTTGAGATTTTCGACAAGAACTTAGTTTTTTAATTTTTTTTCGTCATAACACCTTAGTAGCCAAAGTGGTTTCTAAACAAATTTCTGTTAAATTATTGATTGGGTCGTGTTGGGCTCGGCTCGTTAGTACCATACATACCTTTGTGTTAGTACCATACATACCTTTGTGTTTTAAGCTTCGCACGTGTTTTACGTTTTATCACTGCTTTTGTTTCTAAACTTAGTCTAAAGAACTTAGTCTTTTAATATTTTTTTCGACATAACACCCTACTAGCCAAATCATTTTCTAAACAAAATTGAACTTAAACTTTTAAAGTAATAAATTGCTAAGTGCTAGGTGGCCAACCATGGAGCTAACCGTGGCAATAGTACCATAAAACCCAACAAAAAGTAGAGTAATTCCAAAAAAACAAAAAGTACCAATATCTCGAAAAACAAAAGACTTTTATTAAGGTTATTGTTTTCTGGTTGGTATAGAGCTCACCTACCTACAGTGTCGCTCTGTCGTGGTGGCTTTGGGACACCCTGTATATTCAGTAGATCATACAGAATGTAATTCCAAAAAGATCAACAGGGTCCTACCATGAACTATTATTACAGTTCAGTGTAGGTTCGTAACGACAAAAAAGCGGGATGGTGATATACACTTCATGTAGCGCTGTCTCACAACGATTCATTTTAGGTCCTGAACTGAATCGTAATAAGAGTTCATGGTAAGGCCCCAGTACGTCTACCTCAGTCTTTCCCAAAGTGGGCGATAACGCCCCCTTGTGGGCGCTGCAGGCCTAAAGGGTAAGAGACCCAGAAAAAAAATGGTGTAGTTCATATATCTGTTCTGTTTTATTGAATAAATAAAATAAAAATCACGTCAATCGGTCGCTCCGTTTCGAAATGTAAGTAGACACAAACAAACAAATAAAAAGGCAACAGACACAGTTTCGCATTTTAGTAGTTATTAGTATTCCTAGATGGGTAATTTTCGTAGATAAGGGCCCGCGGGCAAACATGTTTTAACAAGTTTTTGTTAAATAACCCGATTTATGCATTCCTGTATCAATCGGCTGGTTCATAGAAATAGTTCGTTCTTACTTGTTGAGTACGATTGAGCGTCGAATGAGATAAACGAGTTTATGCATGTTTGTCTTATTCCTGTCGGTGCGTGCTACTTATGCAATCCTACATAAACAACGTGATATTTATTTTATTTTCATTTGCGGTTTCGCGCGTAATAGATAAGCAGTACTTAAGTTCAACACTTGCTGAAGTAAAAAAGAGGATACGGCAATACTGTGCGGAATATATTAAATTCGGATTCATTGAAAATCCCTCAAAGTGGACAGTAGACAAAATAAGTTTGGGAACCCCTGGTCTACCTTATCTTAACGTACATTTCACACATATACTATCACGTATTTGTTTGTTACCATCCATCACTGATATGACGTGAGTAACGATTAGTAATATTTACTTAAGTATTGGCATTAAAACTTGTTTGCTTTTTTTACAGAACCTGCGTTAAGTTCTACTCGGCCGCAGATGAGATCGGCGCTTCGGCTCTCAAAGAACATTGCTCAGGACTTATCTCCGCTCACTGGGATGACCTTACAGGTTATATTGACTATATGCCTTTTTTGCCCTCCTTGTCATAGCTAACGGATTTGCATTTCGAGATATTGGCACCTAACGTTTGTTTGCTAGTAAAAAATATAAATTACGCTTATTTTGCTTAAGAGTCTATATATATTGCCTCAAATGGCTTTGGTTGATTCCGCATAACAGTGAAAGTGTTGTATCAATCAGTTTGGAAAAAATATATGTATAGTAAAATTGAGGCTATATACTGATTACTATACGCTGTGAAAACACAATTCCTAAAAAAATCTCACGGTAGAAAAAAAACATAAAGTTACCTCGAAATTTTACAAGAAAAGACCTTTTTTGAATCAACTGAACTAAATAGAACACGTATAGTATACGATAAACATTTTTCAAATGGCTTTAATTTTGTTTCTAACAAAATAAATTTTGAAGTAATGCCAGTGTCCCTGCCGGGTTCTCTGTAGTATTTATAGAGAAATATCAAACAACCATATAAAAATTATGTACTTAGAATATTAGTAATTTCATTCCTAAATTATTCGTTTTAGACACATTCTTTAGACAACATCCTTAGGTATATCGTATATTTTTTGTAAGACGGTTATTTAATAGTAAATAGCTAAACCATTTGTTGCAGCAAAACAGTATTTCCCGCTTCTCCTCCAGTAATTCGCCTTAACAATGAAACTGAACGTATATAAGATATAAAAAATACCGCTATACCGCTTATGCCGGTTGTAGATCTGGTTTCGCTGTTATTAGATATGTAATCACACAATTTCGCTTAAAATGTAGATTACGTTAGTTCTGATAAGGATACTCAATCAACATTGTATTGCAAAAAAACATTTAAGTAAAAAATGCAGTAAAGCATAAAACTAAATCTTGGAGTCCATGTCTGAACTTTGGACTGAAACGTCAAATCAAGGTTTTTTTTTTACAATATCAAATGACGGTACGAACAAATCGTGCGCCTGGTTTGTGAGCTACACGCCTGTCCATAACAGTTGCTGTGCCCCTCAAATCTTTGCGATTTAAAGCTCTGAGGGGTACTGCCACTGCGCCCGTCACACGGAGACATAAAATTGACCAGTCCCATGTGCCTGTAATTTCACCAGCACCCTTACCCTTCAAAACCGGAACACAGTAATGGTGCCATTACTGCTTGGCGGCAGAAATAGGTAAGGCGGCAGTACTTCCCTGGACGAACTCTTTCACAAGGAGCTCTACTGCTACTGAATGCATGAGAAACATCTCCTATATTTTTCCGTAGTTCCTTTCTGTGACTAAAAAAAATCAGTTAATTGTAAAATTTTTAATTTCCTAGTACAATGACATCAAACATTTTCTTAGTGTTTGTGGTCCCCTGAAACTAAATATTGGAGTACATGTCTGAGCCATGGACTGAAACGTCAAATCATGCATTTCCAAAAATTATTCAAGTATGTGTGGAGTTCAAAATTGATTACGGAAATGTATGGATGCATTTGAGTCTGTACTTCAGACTGGGTTTCAAGTTACGTAGATCCTGATTGTACTATTTGAATGTCCACATTAGGCGATGACTTTGCGCACATGTCATCGGCTCTACTATACCGCATGCTGAAGAGCAAAACGCCGCAACCCCTGCACGGTGCCGTGCGGCTGCTGCGCGAGGACGTCGTGTTTCTCTGCCTCGTCGAAAACCATGCCAATGTGAGTACCTAGCCTTAAGTCACACTAAAAACGGCCTTCTGATACATTAGCCTTATATAGTTCATGAACGACGAACTATTAGGAATATATGCGCAACACTGGCCGAGATGAACCAGTTCGTCTTGCACGGTCTTAATAGTTCATCAGTCGTTCTTAGTTCAGTACGAACTAGGAACTGTATGCGTTGATATTTCACCTGTCTTTTATTCAGTAGGAACGGTGCGAGCGGGACAATTAGCGAATTTTCACTGCTTTTAATACAAGTTCGAGTGAGTTTTAAGTCTTTAATACGACCATTATATGTGTAAGTTTGTAAAAAAGTATGCGTTTGACATTTTTGGTAGAAATGTTACCTGTATCACAATATTGACCTACGTGTATATGAAATCGTTGTAAATAATGATGTTAAAACACAGTATTCTAACTAAAATATACGTTATTATTGTTTTGTAAAAAAAAGGATATTTAATTAGAATGACAGTCTTAAACCTGTAAAGTATGAAGGGAAATCAAATAGTACCGATTCCATACAAATTGTATTTTTAAACATTTAGAACAGTGCAGTATTGACCTCATAATTCTAGAACGTTCTGCTAACTAGTTTGAAACTTTCGTTGAATGTCCGAGAACGAGACTAACCAACGAACTACATAGAAGAACTAAACGAACTAGATGAACTAGAAGACCAACCTAGTTCACTTGACCGATTGAACTAGATAGGGTCGCTCCCTTTAAGGACCGATCAGGCACAAGTCTTCCGTACATGATACGAACTCTGTCCGTGTACAGACACAATTTTCTGGTGACTTTTTTCTTGGTCGCAATTAGGCACTTACTGCTTTTAAATGATCTTGCTGGTATGCTTTTTCGAGTACAATATGAATGGCATACGTGAAGTTGGTGCATTTTTATGTCATTCAAAACGTTATCGAACCATTCTATATATTTGTATCTACTTGTTAAATCTAGTACTGCTTATTAACTAGCGTTGAAACTGACTTAATCAAAAACGTAAACAGTTTAAAATGTTTTATTCAAAAGATTAGTTCTATTTTCTACAATATCTTGATACTATAAAGGAATGATTTATTTGAACAATAGACTAGCTCACTTAAAAACAAATCCTTATGTCCACGTGCACTAAACTTAGCACGTCTTAAACCAATGCTTAAATTGATAAGTCACTCTTAAAACAATTTACTAAGAGTGTCTTTTGCATTGCAAGCAACGGTTACGGTGGAACCCAAGTGAAACTTTATTTAGAAAGACTACCACCAATACAACCATTTCTAGTTTAGGTTTAATAATGAATCATACTACATTTAAAGAACTTTGTTCTTTTGTACGTACATACATTATATTATTTATATTATTATAGTTGCTAGCACCGTGTTCATATGTGTGTAAATAATATACTGCATGACGAAATTGCACTACTCGACCCGTAAAATTAATAAACATGAAGTATTTAGAAAAAAATATACACACATCAAAAGTGTCTTCGGATGAAGATTTTTTTAAAATATTTGAATACTCTATTAAAGTTAAATAAAAATATCTATATAATTTTATTAAATTATTTATTTAGTTCCTTTTTAAATTAGAAATTGACCAATAAAACCATTGGTGTTAAAAAAAAATTATTTTATTTATTTTTTAAAATAATTTTATTATTTTAAGAAACTTTTTAAGCCAATTTGATTTTAATTACATTACATAAATACAAATTTCAACCATAAAGCTGGAATACCTTTATTCTTTTATGTTGAATGTGTAAGAAGACTCTCGAAACCAAAGAGTCGTCTATGCTCTAGGGGAGTATCTTAGCGCATCGACTGTACCAGACCGGAATTTACTCCGGGGCACTAATCAGGACGCCCAAGCCAGAACCAATTTAGAAAAGTTGATTTCCAAATTGGTCCAACCGAGAATCGAACCTGGGACCTCCTCATCCAGCGCCCACCGCTTAAAACGTTACGCTACCGTGGTCGTAGGAATAACAATTTAGTTAGCACCTTTTTAGAAGCTGTACATTATTAACATACATTAATATATCTTTGGATTAATTTACTACTTAACTATTATCACTTACTATTTACTTTACTTATCTATATACAGTATTTACTACCCATAAAATATTAATATCGTCGCCAAAAATTAAAAGCTCGTAACTTTTGGACGAAATTTATTTTTTACTGTTCAAGCGCATAATCGGGCAATTGTACGGGGCTTTTTACCTACAAAGGTATAATCATAGATTGTCATATGATTATTTCTAGTAATTCTGTTTTTTGTGCTTATTAAAAAATTCACAAATTATGTAGGTACGATGTTTACGTATTTAGCCTACGATATAATGAATGACAATATAATAAATGACAGTTAAATTACAAAATACAAACACTTATTGCATACATAATAAAATGACACAATTTGTTCTTTGTACTAATAAAAAAACAGTATGATGAGTTTTTTAACCACTCCACCGGTATTTACAGACACTATGCAAGTCGCAATATTAATTGGTTATTTTTTATTATTATTAATAAATAATTACCAAATCTCGGTATGAGTTCTCATGATCAATTTAGATTGCTGAATGGAATGACAGTGAATTTTTGTAACGAAATTGTACGGACAACGGCGCATCAGACTACACATTTTTGTTCGAAAATCACCTCCATTGCAACGGAACAACATACGTCAATGTGTAGCTTGATGTGCTGGCCTGTGTACATTATATAATGAATGAACTTTATGTCAAATGTAGCGGCGGAAATTCCAGAGATTGCGCGACAATTCTGCACAAGACGCATGACCTGTTTTTTGGCTTGTGTCCAATAGTTTGTACGTACACAATTGACATATAGTTTATTATAATATGGTTACAAACATTCGCTTCCATTCCGTTCCGTGGCTATGTAAATTGAGCTTTACATTGAGAAACCTATATTAGATCGAACTACATTCGCTATAGAACTAAAAGCAGTAAAACGCTAATAAAAACCACATTTTCTATAGTTCTTACACCATTGTTACACAAATCTCCTCTGCAAAAGCAGTTAGTTGTTGTCGTAGGCCTGTCGAATTCATTTGATTTTTCGTAACAGCCTTCTGTATAGGCTTCATGCTCGTGAATCTTATCGATGAGGTGCCAATGTCCGTCGATTTTTTCTTGGTATCCGGACATGAGTTGCTTCGCGCAGCCGCGGCTGATGCTCTTTGTTGGATCTGAAATAATAATAATAACAATACGCCAAATTACTACCTATCACACCTGGTCTCAAACTAACGAATAACTCTCAAAAAGATCAAGAAAATTAGCTCCGAGGCACTACCTTCAGCTCCCAGACCAAAACCAATTTAGAAAAGTTTATTTCCCAAACATATTGGTCCTACAGGGAATTAAACCCGGCCTGTATCATCTAGAACGCATAGGGCTAACCGCTGAACCACCTGTATCTAGATCTTGTGATAAAAGTTACTAAGTAAGTTTTTGTAATTTATAATGAAAAAACCAAAATATTTTTAAGAAAGCAAAATATTATTAGTCGTCAGCGTAGCGTCATTTGACTTTTCTATGTATTTTTAATTTTAAACCTATTTAGTGAACATTATATTATAGTTATTAAGTTAATATTTAATGTAGCAAACTTATTATCAAGTTTAATTTTAACTTACACAAACAAAACATTCGAGAAGGATTTACGTTTCGAACAGTGTCTCATTAACACGTCATTTAAACAGAAAAAAACACTGCGTGAAACTAATTCCACTTCACGAATTTCCTTTAAGGAGTTTTGAGAGACATTACACGATCCCTCTTGAATGTATTCATATTTCCGAGTATTGAATTTATTGATGCGTCAGCGACTAATTCCATATCTAGATAAGGCGTTTTTTACGCGTCAACAATGGTGATTTTTCCTAATGTTTTTAAAAATTCTACGTGTTTTTAGATATATTGTGCTGAAGGAATTGGTAAAATTTATTGTAGCAGTGCTATTTAGTTTTGCCGTTTGCCACATGTTTTATTTTTTTTAAATCCTCTTTTAGGCAAAATCATAGAACGATATCGGATACGTTAGTGTTGTTTGCGGGAGGACAATAATTATCTTGTGATATTTATTGTGTCTGTGTTTTTTATAAAACAGCTCAACTTGGCGGGACGAACAAGTCGTGCGCTTGGTGGTAAATGACATTGCAGTTGCAGTGTCACTTTAAATCGCAAAGATCTGAGTTGCACTGCTACTGCACCCTGAGACATAATATGGTGACAAGTCACATGTGCCTGTAATTTCACCAGCACCTTTACCCTTCAAAATCGAAACGCAGTAATGATAAAATAATCACATTACTGCTTGGCGGCAGAAATAAGTAAAGTGGCAGTACTTACCTGGGCGAACTCTTTCACAACGAGCTCTACGTCTACTATACTATTGACTGACTAGTTTTTAATGTAAAATAACTGTGAAAGCCATGGCTGTGATAATGTGTCGATCGTCACCTTATCAGCAAACTCCCAAAAGTTCGTCCATGTCATTAAACTCGATACTACGGCGAAATTGCCTCCCAATCTGCAAGCCGTTTCAGACTGATGGAAACAACAAATCGATAGTGTATGTTTATGTCGTTAACTATTAACTTGAACGCCAAGGGAGTAGCGACGGATCTATGCGATTACCGTGATGCTCGATCGATCGAATCGTCTTTATATGAGGTAGATACGAAGTTGCCGTCAAAAAAATAAAAGCGTTATCCTGTATCCTTTCTAGTAACTTTACTGGATTCAACATGATAAACGATTACCTACTACTTAGTATGTTTATCAATAAAATTTGTAATACGCCACTTAACCAGTGCAGTTTACTAGTTACAAACTAATTAAGAAGAATACTCCTAGTACTAGTTACTTTTTGGTAGCAGTAGAGCTCCTTGTGAAAGAGTTCGTCCAAGGAAGTACTGCCACCTTACATATTTCTGCCGCGAAGCAGTAATGTCACCATTACTGTGTTCCGGTTTTGAAGGTTAGGGTGCTCGTGAAATTACAGGCACATGGGACTTGTCAACTTATGTCTCAGGGTGACGGGCGCAGTGACAGTGCCTCTCACACCTTTGCGATTTAAAGCTCTGTGTGGCACTGTAACTGTTGTGGACAGGCCTGTAGCTTACCATCAGGTGCACGACTTGTTCGTCCCGTCACTTGACATTATATTTAAAAAAGAGTAACTGAAAGCGTCTAAATTTGATTTACTGGGATCGAACTCGAAACGTCACGTGTCCCTAGAGAGTTTACCCGTAACTAACACCATCGTCTTCAAATTCTATTCACTACGGACGCGTGCTCTCTCACCATCAATACAAATTAATGCCTTATATTCACTTAGTAACGAGTGCCCTAACAATACAATTAATTAAGTTACTCACGGAATTACCAACGCCACTCCTATTGAACATCTAAATGCGCAATAAAATGTTACTTAGAAAGGGTGTGTCGACATTCGTCCTAATTTTCCTTTAGTAGGCGTATTAAATGCCTTTTTGCCCATAAGTCTATTAATGTATACAGCGTTTAGTAACATGTGGCGTTGAGCTAGAGAGGTATATATCCGAATATGGAATAACCCGTGCTATTGCGTGCAACATTCCCAGTTACATATAATGTTAATTTAAATTATAAGCATGTGTAACACAAAAGTTTCCTTCCCTATTTAAATTGTTGGTAGGGAAATATCGTTTTTAATATACAAATACGTACTTTAGTGTTAAAAAGTGGGTTATACTTATTCTTTTAGTGCAATACTTTGGTCATTCGGAGCCACAATATTTAGAAAACATCTGTTGTTAAGTCAATAAAAAGCACTAAAACTCTTATTTCGTTCACCATAAGGTAGTCCTATATGATCGTATATGTCTAGGTCGCAAAGGTCAATCGGTCCTTGGCTTAGATATTTTCGTTCGTAACTAACCGGCTTGTTATCCTAACTTGTTCGTCACGTATATCTGTTAATACAGATGCTTTTTCAGACTTGTATATTTCAAGTATGAAATACATTTAGTAATGTCAAAATAAGGTCTTGAGGTTTGAGTGATTAATTGAATATGTACTATTTTCTTTTGTCTCATTTTTAATTTAAGGACTCTAGGGGTCGTATTCCAAAACTCTACTCAATACTCTTGTCAGGGCTTGAGTATTATTTCAAGCACTAGAAATCATACTCAAGTCCTTGCCATTAGGATCGTATTTCCAGTGCTTGAAATCATACTCAAGTCCTGACTTGAGCATTGAGTAGAGTTCTGGAATACGACTCCTAGACTATAATTACGAGTAAATGCCAAAAATAACTAAGAAACACGTAGATTTTAATTATAAAAATATATTTTCTGTGAAATGCCATTTGTACCCACAAACATGTTCCTACAATGTATGTTTCCTTAATAACGGTCTCCGCAATTACCCAAACTTTATAAATAGTTACAGAATAATGCAATTTTAACATTCAAAGAATGAAAATATTTACACGGAAACCAGAAACTCAAGACCTACTACACCATTGTTCACATTGACCTACCTTCCATCCCAACCAATGAGGTTTCTTTCTTGAAGCAGACGGTGGAATGCGGGCAGTCAGTGATGTAGTGTTCACTGCCGTCGAAGTTCTGGCACAGTTGACGATTCAATGTTAAACTGTCTAACGACGGTTGGCACGTATAGCATCGGATTGCTGATGACACTGAAATAGAAATCACATTGTTAGTCTTGCCTGTATCAGATCAGCACGTACTTAGTGTAACGGGCTGATGCCCGCAACTCGACGTCAAGGAGCCTATGTTGTATGTGGAGATCAGCGCGTATAGCCTATACATGAGTGAAATGAAAACATCTGCACACACATGCATTTGAACGCATTTGTCCATGTTCATTTTTAGACCCACCTGCTGGGAAACTCTATTGAGGTCACCAAGCATGGTGCCATTTGCTCGCCATTAATGTTGATGCCGAGTCCTTTTCAGTTCAGTAACTTGAATGCATCGTCCAATGCAGTGGTGAACAGTTTCGGAGAAATGAGGTCTCCCTGTCGCACTCCTCTTTGCAATTGGATAGGCCTTGTGCACTGGTCCTGGAGTCGAACTGACATAGTAGCGTTTCTGTACAAACACTTCAACACTTCGGTATATCGATGGTCAATGTGGCACCGTTGTAGAGACTGTAGAACCGCCCAAGTCTCGATCGAATCAAAGACTTTCTCATAGTCCACAATACACGTACAAGTACATAAAATATGATTGTTTGAAATAATTTAAAACCGTTTAAGATTTTCCTTCCATTGATTTAAGGAAATATTACTGGCCAGTATAAATTTCCTGCTGCATTGTTAACGTTATAATTAGTATTGATTTTATTCTTTACTAAAATAATGTTACATTGCGTCCTTCAGAGGTCCATAATAAACTGTGTCTCTACCATGAGTTCACAGTGTCGATATACATAATATAGTCGCTAGCGACGCTGCGAAATTTGTCATTTGAAACTGTCATAGTCCATCGTGTATTAAGGACGGTAAATAAGAAAACTCGAGTTTTACGTTTTTTTTACCTTCCGTGAAACATACATTGTTTTTCATCACATGTGCGAGGAAATAAGTACAATGTTTATTTCTTGTATGAATAAAATAAGATTCGAAACGCAATAATTGTGGATTTTGCAAGTGGCGGGTTATTTGTTTTGTTTTTTTTAATCAATATATGGCCATCTAGCTATTCTTCCATAAATAATACAACTCGAAATAAAATGGTGTAAAAATACAGACATACAGTAAATAATTCAAATCAAATAAAAGAAATTCTTAATAATAAGTATTTAAGTAGTATGTGGCTGAATTGCAATGAAATTTCAGTTTAGATAACATTTTAGGCGAATGTTTTAATTTTGAACTTAAGTAATCTTCTTGCTTGAACTTGAACCTCGCCTAAGTAAGGAAGTATGTCGTGCTACAAATAAAAAAAACTTCGTACCGACCATGGCTGTAATGGGAAGAAAAAAGGCCCGAGGGTTTTATTATTACGAGTATAGTAATTACGAGCAAGAGTGATGGAAAATATTTTACGCGATTGCTACTGGCTATCGGCATGAGAAACTTATGGTAGAGGTACTATTGTACTGGATATTAACATATTGTGTTTAAATTACAACATTAGAGACCAAGTAGCGTCTTTAAGAAACAATAATGCAAGCGATCATTCAGATACGCCTACATCCATTTCAATATGATAAACAAGAAGCGTTTTATTATTCTGGATTTAAATCTGAACGTTCTGAACAAAGGAAGATATTTTAGCCAATTAGAAGTAGTTACTAGAAACAATTGCGCAACTGGCCTTCTATTCTACGTCCGACTAACTAGCTATACGACCTAAACGCATATAATTGAGTTCCTACTACGTATACATTATACGAGAAAAGTAGCCTGTTTCTTTATAATACCAAGTGACGGTTTTTTTATGATACCAAGTGAAATCGTGCGCCTGGTGTTAAACGACACGCCTGTCCATAGCAGTTGCAGTGCCACTCAGAGCATTAAATCGCAAAGATCTGAGGAACACGACCACTGCCCTGTGGGCACCTGTCACCCTGAGACATAAGTTGACAAGTCTCATGTGCCTAACTTCACCAGCACACTTACTTACCCTTCAAAACCGGAATGCTTACATTACTGCTTGGCAGCAGAAATAGCTAATAGTAATTCTATTGAAATTTGTAAATAAATATATTAGGTTCGACAGCTTGCACAGCAACAAATCGTCGTATACGTTAATATATTGTCATTTTTGTATAATAAAATAAATAAAAAAATTCAATTAGCTCATCTCAATAAATTTGAACTCAAAAATAAACTCTACGTTTTTGGTCAATTTAGATTATGGTTTGACGGAAAATTTAATAAACCGAGAATTAGTAATATAAACTAAATTATTTGCTATGTAGTAATAAGTAATAGTAATAATAATAATTTTATTCTTATTGATCTTTTTTTTTCTTTTTTACATTATTATTATGTTTTACTTTTTTTTTTCTCTGTTACAACAAGTTACATTGTTGTAACTCTTTTTTGTAGTAAAGTTCTTAATTAAGACACGGAGGAATACTGGCTCTCATGTCACAGGTTATCCTACTTTGAGAGTCAGGGAATATATCTTGTATGTATGTATGTTCTGTCCTTAGTTTCTAGATTTAATATCTTTACTGTGAACTTTAAAAAGAAATATCAAGGTCTTACAATAAATTTAAAAAATTGTATTAAGTGACAAAGTCGTCAAGGTATTCGTGTTAATTTTTGTCGCCAAAGAAATGTGTGAACGTGTAAAAAATATCAAAAAGAATTTAAAACGTAATTAACGTGCACGAGTTCTTATGTTTTCCATTCGCTCGTGACGAAGGGCTTTTTCTGTAACGATGCTTTGTTACTATGTAAATTTGGAACATCCTTGTTTAATAAAATACAAATGTATATATCTGAAAGAGAATAAAATTATTTTATCTGCACACATGTTATAAACCCTCCATAATGTCGTCAGAAACCGCAATTACGACAAGCATAATGATTAAACTGTTTTGTTAGAACAAATTTCTTATCTGTAAATTTGTTATTATTGCTTAATAATAACATCAAATTCGATTTTATTATTACATTCAAATTTCGAACCTCTCTGAAAAACAAAACAATTTGGTTCGACCTCTATTATAATATCAGTCGAGATGAAGTTTTATACGAAATGAAATTTTACGGCACGGTTTAATGTGAATCATCCTTTATTCGAAATGAAATGTCAATAGCAAACAATTTTGAGAAATTTCAGAAGTTACTTGAAATCGAACGATATGATAGTTGGGGGCGACTCTAGTATGAATTAAAAAAAACTACGGTTGCGTGACATGCGTGAGAAAAATTTTTATTTGCCGCCATTTAGCCAGTCGTAACATGCGGTTCCTAAACACATCATAGAGAGCTTATAATATGTGTATAGATAAGGCAGTGTATGTAACTGTACATAATTAGGCATTAAAACACTCGTGTGATGTTTTTATGACATCCTATAACCCACACTCGTGTTTTAATGCCCTTCATTATGTAACAGTCACATAAACTACTATCTATTTTGGCAGAAAGTTTACTTCCTATTTAACACAAAGAGATCTGATGCCTATGGGTCGTATTTTAGAACTCTACTCAATGCTCAAGCCAGGATTTGAGCATGGTTTAAAGCACTCGAAATCATACTCGAGTCCCTGCCATTAGGGTCGTATTTCCAGTGCTTGTGTTTCCAGCGCAATCCTGACTTGAGCATTGAGTAGAGTTCTAGAATACGACCCGAAGTCTGGATAGCGCTGATCAATAGCCTGGAAGTAGTTTATATTATGTATATGGCCGTGGATATCAATTATTTCCTCTTCTACCATGAAATGTAAGAACTCAGTTTTCTTCCCTTATAATATTGCAAATATTGATGCCGCTACTTTTATACAAAATAAAATTATTCCAGCACTATCCATTAAATCAGTGCAATAAGCGCCATCTAGTTGTATTGTTTGATATCACTAGAAATTGTAGTAGCTTTGATAAATTGTAACTTGTATTTGGTACTCGTCGCGACATCTGATGTACCAATATCAACATAAAAGGAAATCAGAAATAGTTTATTTAAAATGGGTTTTAAAAAATTGGTACTAAATACCCAACTGCTCAAGTGAAGAACCTACGTGTCTGGACCTGGACATCCTATATCCTACAACACCTAGACCAGAACCAATTTAGAAACGTTCATTTTCCAAATTGATTTTGCCGCGAATGAACCAAAGATTATTAAATATTATTATTATTATTATTTTTATGAACCTATACTGTCCCACTACTAAGCAAAGGCCTCCCTCCCCTCTCTCCACACCTCTGTGTTTTGCGCCACTGAGGTCCAGTCCTTTAGGTATGCGTCCCGCTCGTCTCTCCATCGACGCTTTGGCCTGCCGCATGGTCGTTTTCTGTCTTTGGGGATCCCCTCTGTGGTGGCCTTCGTCCACGACTTGTCTGACATGCGGCAGACGTGACCCGCCCAGTCCCATTTTAGTTTACCAGCTTGTTAGCCCACATATACGATTCGTGTTTTGGAGCGCAGATCACTGTTCCTAATTCGGTCTGACAATTTGACTCCCAGAATGCTGCTCTTCATAGCTCGATGGCAGACCCCAAGTTCGAACTTTTGCCGTACTGTCAGTGAACAGGTCAGTGTCATTTGTGCGCCGTAGGTGAGGATGGTTAGAATACACACGTCCATAAGTTTTCTTTTGAGCGTATTATACATGTATTATATAAATATTATATAATACATAAACATTATATAATACTTACAGTATGTTGTATGGAATCCGGTGCCGACTAATAAAGATTACTGGTCCGATCATACATAAGATCCTCATTAACGTAACACTTCTCAGGAAATTCGCAATCCACTGTTCATTTAGTCAGCTTAAAGAAATTAGAACTATCAACCAAATAGGTACACTAAAATCAACCATTTCATGATACATTTAAAGAGCACTTTAGGTTAAAACATTTCAAAGATGCATGGAATTAATTTATACATAACATTTATTTTTGTCAATGTGCAAATATTTAGAGAACTCTAATTATATGGTTATAAATAGTTAGTTCAAAACACATGTGAATGGTTTTGATTAGAT